GGGACCCAAACCAACACAGTGATCAATGAAAGAAAAATGCTAGAAGAGAATAAATAAGACTATAGATATGCTTGTATAGGAGATATATGTACAAAGGATCCATGCCTCACAAATTTAAATGTGCATGAGTCACCTGGGAATCCTGCTGAAATGCAGATTCTGGGGTAGGGTGGACCCCAGATGCTATATTTCTAAGAAGTTCCCAGGTGATACCAATGTTGCTGGTCCAAGGACCACACTTTGAGCAGCTGAGTGCTAGACATTTTCCACTGCCTCACTGTGTCTTTTCACGCTGTTCCACATCCACGGAGACCCACTGCATGGACTCCATCAGCAGGCTCCAAGCCTCTGGCTTCCAGTTGGGTTTTCCAAGGAGGAGCTCTGACAGGAGACCACAGGGCAAGAGGACGGTGAAGTCAGAGGTTTATATTCCTCTGGGGATAGCTCCTACTGAGCTGTGACCCTCTATTAAAGGCTATCACTCCTGTCTGGTAACTTTGCTATTTTTCCCTTGCGGACTTTTACTGCTCTCCCCTTTCTCTCCCCAGGCCTGGGGTGGTAATAGCTCCTACTATTACCAGCCCTGGAATACTGCACCACCCCTTGTGGCTCTTAGTAAACCCTGTCCACACTTCTGTAAATAGTTCTTTGGTAAGCATTCCTGAGTTCCTCGGCCAAGTGTGTCATCTGTTCCTTGCCAGGATCCTGGGTACTACAAGTACTGTCCAATACGGGATTTTTTTTCTTTTCTTTTTCTTTTTCAAGACAGGGTCTTGCTCTATCGCCCAGGTTGGAGAGCAGTTGCTGTGATCACATCACAGCTCACTGTAACCTCAAATTCTCAAATTCCTGAGTGTTAGGTCCAGAGCTGAGAAGGAGACACATGAAGCCTCAGGTGTAGCAAACAATGTTTATTTGAGCACCTGGTGCAGATGAGTGGAGGCCAAAAAGAGTGTCCATGCCGAGGGAGGGGAAAGCCTTGGGTTTTATAGAGGGTTTTTCTGGGGGGAGTGAGCAACTGGGCCAGAACAGCCGCTGTAATAAATTGTTTTCAAACAACCAATTTCTGGGACCCTGCATCGGTCTTATCCTGCAGAGATGGGGGGGGGCATAGCTTTGTCCTCATCAGGGGGAAAAGGAATGCCAGCATTGCCACAACTGTCCATGGTCAGAGTTACATTTACAACCTCCAGACTCTCCAGACTCCTGCAGCTATTGTTTCACAGGCTTTATGATCACTATCTAAGTTTTCCATTAACTGCATGTTGTCCTATACATACTTTTCAGGTTCCCACCCTAAGCAATCTCTGGTCTCAAGTGATCCTTCTGCTTCAGCCTTCTGAGTAGCTGGGATTACTGGTCAGTGCCACCACACTTGGCTAATTTTTAAATTTTTTGTAGAGACAAGCTCTCGCTATGTTGTCCAGGATGGTCTCAAACTCCTGGCCTCAAGTGATCCTCTTGCCTTGGCCTCCTTCCCAAAGCTCTGAAATTATGAGTATTAGCCACAGCACACAGCCTAGGATTTTTTACAATAGCAGAAAACAGGAAAGAAGTTAAATGTGCCTTATTTTAAAATGATTAAATAAATTACATTATATCAGTTGAATGGTGTTAAAGCAATCACTAAAAAAAAAGGCAGCAGTCTATAGTTACCTACATGGAAAGATGCCTGAGACATTTGTTAAATGGAAAAAAAGAGAAGAAAATCATGATTCAGAATAGTATGTATAGTATGAACCCATTCATTTAAAAAAGTAAATTATAGGCCGGGCGCGGTGGCTCACGCCTGTAATCCTAGCTCTCTGGGAGGCCAAGGCGGGCGGATTGCTCGAGGTCAGGAGTTCGAAACCAGCCTGAGCAAGAGCAAGACCCCGTCTCTACTATAAATAGAAAGAAACTAATTGGCCAACTAATATATATAGAAAAAATTAGCCGGGCATGGTGGCGCATGCCTGTAGTCCCAGCTACTTGGGAGGCTGAGACAGAAGGATCGCTTGAGCCCAGGAGTTTGAGGTTGCTGTGAGCTAGGCTGACGCCACGGCACTCTAGCCTGGGCAACAAAGTGAGACTCTGTCTCAAAAAAAAAAAAAAAAAAAAAAAGTAAATTATGCATTTGTTGAGGCTTGGATTACAAGTGATGACAAGTGTGGAAAAAGTAAACCTAACCAAAAAGAATGGGGGGGGGGCACAGATTTTCTGACTCCATCTCTTTCCCGTCACTTGGTGCTGCTTTCCTTTGCTGTGGCTTCACTTTCAGGCAGGCTGTCTTTAAGTGGTGGCAGAGTGAGCACCAATTTGGTTTGCAACATCCTGATATCCTGACAGCTGACAACATCAACAGAGAGGACCTTGTTCCCAATTGCTTCAGCAAAAATCCTGGGTTGAAGACAATCAAGATGGGTTTGGCCATGCACTACCCACCAAACCACAAGGACTGTGGGTGGGGGAGAAATGCTCCCCCAAAGAAAGAGGGTGTCTAGAGGGAATATTTTGTAGTAGACATTTGTTATCCTTTTTGACTGCCCAGCATCTGAACCCCTTCCTACATTGGGCAGTCCCCTACTTTCTGGGGCAGAGCCTACCTCCCAACATTCCAGATGCTGAAAATGCCAGAAGCTCACTTTCCCAGCCTCCCTTTTTGTCAGGCGGAGCACATGACCTAGGTTGAGCCAATCAAACACTCCCACCCCAGGCTCTGAATCTGGAGCCAGTGACACCAAAAAGGGCCTGAGCCAACTCCATGCAGGGAAAGAGTGCAGCTGTGGCATAATTTGGGGCACTATTCCTGGCTGCTGTGCCTTCAGAACTGGTTCTCTGGCCCTGATGGGATCTGTGAACTATGAAAGAACCTTGTACTAAATCCTCTTTCTGCTTACATTATTTGGAGAGTTTTCTGCTGTTTGCAATCAAGTAGCCTGAATAACGCCCATATGTACATGTGCATGCTTGTATATGTGTGGAATATTTTTGGAAAGATAAAATAAATGTACATATAGGTTACCTATGGAGAGTAGGACTGGGAGAGTGGTGGAGGAGAGACAGGGGCTTTACTTTTGCCTTATGCCCTTTTGTACTGTTGGAATTTAGTTTTTGCTTTTACATTACTTTTATAATTAAACTAGTTAGTAAAAGTACATGAAAAGATACTTGAGTGAAGAGACTAAGGCAAAGGTGCAATTATTCAGAATTTTCATGGAAACTAATGGCTTCATTAGACCTACAAAAGAAAGTCGTCTTCACCTACATGGTGATGAATGGGACCAAATCTGGAAGCAAGTGAGAGTGTAGCATCTCAAGCACTGGCTCTGAGTGACTAGCTCTAGCCCTATACCTCACCTGCTCAAATATTTTCCATGGCTCCCCATTGCTCACAGAATAAATCCCACAGTCTTATCCTGGCACTGAAGTACTTTCAGGATTCTTCCTCACCTTTTACACTTTGCCTAGAAGGCCTTTTCTTCCAGGCCTGCTGGCCCAGATCCTAAGGACATGGTTATAAAATCTCTGATGTGCCAAAGCCACGACACTTATCCCTTCCTCACGCCCTCATTAAGTTTTGCTCTGTATTGTAATTCTATATACATGAGACTTAGTCATTTAACAATCACATATTGAGCACCTACCGTATGTGTGGGATTTTATTAGACTTTGGCGTCACAGCTCACAGTCTACAGAAACCAATTACCCTGTATCAGAGTGTTAATGTTACCACGATGGGCAGGTGGCACAACACAACCTATACACAGGCAGGGTTGCTCTTGTGAGAACCTTCCTCTGTCCCTCGGACTGGATCGCCCTTCTCCCACATCAGCATGGCTTGCTTTCTCAGCTCCTTCAGGCCTCTGCAAATGTCACATTTTCCATGCCTACCCTATTACGACATCTCACCCTCTATCCCATTTACCTGGATTTATGTTATGTTCTATTTATTGTTTTAATAGCACTCATCACCATCTGACATACAAGTTACTTACTTGTTTGCTTATTTACAGCCTGCCTCTTTCCACTGAGAGTTCATTTCCACGGAGATTTAATTTTGTTCCTTGCCGCTTTTCCAGCACCTAGAACAGTGCTTGGCACGTAGCAGGCACTCACATATTTGTTGAGAATGGAGAGGGATTGGACTGGATGTCAGAAGACCTAAGTCCTATTCACATCTCTCCTGCAGCAGTTGTTTAGTCTTTGGGAAGACACGACCTCTTTAAGCTTCAGTGGCCTCCTCTGTAACTTGGGGAAGATCATGCAGGCCCGCTGGTGGCTGGCAGGTCTGCTGTCAGGATCCAACAGTGAGTGTCCAACTTCAGCGGGCATCAGACTCACTTAGAGCACTTGTTAAAATACAAGTTGCCGGCCCCACACCCAGAATTTCTGACTCAGGAGGTCTGGGCTGCGGCCCGAAAATCTGCATTCGCACAGCGTTGCAGTTGGTGCTGGTGCCGCGGTGTGTGGGCCACGCTTCGAAGACCGCAGGTAAGGACAGGTACGTACGGAAGGGCTTGCAGCTGCAGCGACCCGGTCTAGATGAAGGACCGGCACTAAAGGCCCCGCAGAACCTTCGGGGAGAAGAGAACGGACCCGTCCGTCCCTAAATTCAGCCCACAATTATTTCGGAAGCACTAGTTCAGTGCCTGGGGCTCAGTGAGCGGGCACGCCGGTCAAGTCAAGGCTCGCGCAGCTGTGGACTCGGACCCTGGCCCAGCGGTCCCGGGCCGCAGCGTGTGGAGGGCTGGGGTCTCCGCCCTGCCAGGAAGTCTCCAGAGGCGCGACAGGGCCGCTGGCTGGCGGCTGAAAGCTTGAGGTGGGCCAGGAAGTCAAAGTTTCCTCAGAGGTTTCCGGGACCTGCGGTCCCCTCAGACGCCAGGGAGCGGGCGCGGCCCCACCAGCATTAGGCGCGGCCCCGGCCCGGCGCGCGCCCGCACACAGTAGGCGCGCGGCCCGGCGCGGGCGGGCGGAAGGGGGCGGCGGCGCGCGGTATCCGGGGGCGGAGCCGGCGCGGCCGGCGGGGCGGTCGGGCGCGGCGGCGATGGGCGAGGGCGGGCTGCCCCCGGCCTTCCAGCTGCTGCTACGCGCCTGCGACCAGGGCGACACGGAGACGGCGCGGCGGCTGCTGGAGCCGGGGACGGCGGAACCGGCCGAGCGCGGCGCGGAGCCTGAGGCAGGCGCGGAGCCGGCGGGGGCTGAGGCAGCCGGGCCCGGGGCGGCGGCGGCGGCCGGAGCGCCGGTGCCAGTGGACTGCTCCGACGAGGCGGGCAACACGGCGCTGCAGTTCGCCGCGGCCGGGGGCCACGAGCCGCTGGTGCGCTTCCTGCTGCGCCGCGGAGCCTCGGTCAACAGCCGCAACCACTACGGCTGGAGCGCGCTCATGCAGGCGGCCAGGTGAGGGGCCGGGGTCCCGGGGTCCCGGGCGGGGAGTGGTGCCCAGCGCGGGCCGGGACGCAGACGGGGCGCAGGCGTCCAGAACTGCCTGGTGGCCCTCCACAGACGCCCCGGGGGGTGAAGAGTCAACGACTCGTTGGAGTTGGAATGGTAAACTTTGAGAAGTGGAAGCGCTTTTTAATGAACATAAACTCAGAATTTTAGAAACTTTGGCCTTTCACAACAGAATCTGGAGACTGCGAATAGAATCTTAGAGACTCAGTCTTAGACGTGTTCACTCATTACTTGTTGCACCAACGGTTTCCTCAGAACCTGCCTTCCAGAGTTTATAGCGGAATCTCTCTACCTTGGTACCACTGACATTTTGGACAGGATCATTCTTTTTTTGTAGGATGTTTAGCAACATTCTTGGCTTCTCCTCATTAAGATGCTAGTAACCTCCCTGCTCCCCAGTCATGATAATAAAAAATTTCTCTAGACATTGCCACATGTCCCCTGCCAGGGCACAGCAACCCCCAGTTGAGAGCCACTGCTTTACACATATATGAGCAGGTCTGATGGTTGATTTTTCTTTTCATCCCCCGTCTTACATACTACACACAGTTCTCTACCTTGCTTTTTTCACTTAATGTTCTTTGGCAATCTTTCAGTAGTTTTTCAGTAGTCTCACAGTGTTTCATTGTATGATAATTTATTTAACCAGTAGCCTGTTGTTTAGCCTTGTTTCCAGTCACTTGCTGTTACAGTTATGCCTTAATCTGTGCATATGTTTGATACACATATCAGTTCACACCTGAGGAAGTATATCGTAGGCAATTCCCTAATGAGCCAATACAGGCCGTTTGTAATTTAGATATTGCCAAATTGTTCTCTATATAAATGTATTCACTGCTTATGGCTGCTGTAACAAATTACCACCAATTTAGTTAAAAATTTGGTTAAAAACAACACACATTTATTATCTTATAGTTCTAGAGGTCAGAAGTATGAATGGGCCTCACTGGCCTGAAATCAAGGTGCTGGTAGGGCTGTATTCATTATAAAGGCTCTAGAAGAAAATTCATTTTCTTGCCATTTCTGGCTGCAAGAGGCTGCCCACATTCCTTGCCTCATGGTCACCTACCATCTTCAAAACCAGCAGTGATCACATCACTCCCACCTCTCACTCTGAGCCTTCTTCATCACATCTTCTCTGACTCAAACTCTTCCACTTTCTTTGTCCACATTTAAAGCACCCTTGTGATTGCTTTGGGCCCACCTGGATAATCTAGGCCTGCAGTCCCCCAACCCCTAGGCTGCAGACCAGTACCAGTCCCTGGCCTGTTAGGAACTGGGCAGCACAGCAGGAGGTGAATGGTGGGTGAGCAAGTGAAGTTTCATCTCTATTTACAGCTGCTCCACTTCCCTTTGTGCCCATCACTGCATAAGCTCCGCCTCCTGTCAGATCAGCTGGAGCATTAGATTCTCATAGGAGCATGAACCCTACTGTAAACTGCACATGCAAGGGGTCTAGGTTGTGTGCTCCTTATGAGAATCTAATGTCTGATGATCTGAGGTGGAGCTGAAGCAGTGATGCTAGTGCTAGGGAGCAGCTGCAAATACAGGTTATGATTAGCAGAGAGGTTTGACTGTACAATAAATCTAATTAATGCGCTTGACTTATCCTGAAGCCATCCCTCCCCTGCAGGTCTATGGGAAAATTTTCTTCCATGAAACCTGTCCCTGGTGCCAAAAAGGTTGGGCCCTGGTGAGCCCCAGTGTACTTAGTGAGATTTGTGATTACAGCTGTGGCATACCTCAGAGCGTCCCAAAGACCCCTGGTCACCAGTTTTTCCCTTTAACCAAATTTTGCAGGATGGTCAAAGTCATCTCCTGATTAGTTATAGCTCTTTAATTTGTTAACCTTGATGGGGCAGGAGACTCAGAATTAACCTAACCCTTGATTGTTAACTAATGACAATTTAACATTTTTAGAGGACTTTCCTTCTTCTCTAAAATTTGGTATTATAAATAGAGCTTAGATTTGTGGCCCAAGTGTCCTGACTTTGTCACTTTCAAATCAAGAGGCTTTGGACTGATTATATTCCTCTTTATTTTTCAGTTTACCTTACAGATGCTATTCTGGGAGCATTAAGACGATGTATTCTCTTATTTATTTCTATGAGAATGAGGTAGAATATGGCGATCCTATGAGAGGATTAGCATTCATTCTTGTCCTTTAGCTGAGCCTTCGCAGGTCCTGGGTACTTTAAAATGTATTGTTCCTCAGTTGGTGACACCTGCTGTCTGTACTCAGGTTCTGGCTCTGCCCATGTTGAGTTGTGCTTGAGCTTTCCGCTGCCTAATCCATTCCAGAAGCTCAAGTTGAGGAATAATATGCATGGGAGACTTGCTGAAGTATGTGCAGTGTCTGTCCCTCAGATCGAAATGGGCGAATGTACGGCCCCTGTGTCAGCACTCCCCAGGATCGTGCGCTCCTTCCCGGAATCTGCATATGCCTCAGAATCCTCCTCAAACCATGCTCCTGGCAGCCACAGCGTTCAGTCTAAGTGAGCATTGGTTTATCATCCCAGCCTTGTTCTAAAGTTTATCCCTAGATCAATCAGGCCAGGCCATCAGAGGCCCTGTGCCTTTGGTCTCTTGTGTATATTTTAGTATCACAATTGGTTACACTGATGTTTTCCTATTCTTAAAATAATAGATAACCTTTACTGAGCACTTTGTGTAAAGCACTGTGCTACGTGCTTTAAATGAATTAACTCATTCAATTGACACAAAACCTTAGGAGGTAGGTAATATTATCATCTTCATTTTACAGATGAGGAATTGAGGCACAGAGAAGTTAGGTAACTTGCCCAAGGCCACACAGCTAGTAAGTGGCAGGGAGTCAGATTCACACCCAGGCAGGTGGTTCCAGAGCCTGATAGCTTCACTCGTGGTGTTGGCAGCAAGAATGTGACTTGTCAAATTTGCCAGCAACTTCTTTCCAAGGGACATTGGTTGCATGGTGTTTATTTTGGCACTAGCTTCACCCTTGGTCTCTTTACTTTCCTTCCCTGCCCTTCATTACTCCGCCTGCCAGGGGGCAGAGCTGGACTCAGCCTACCAGTGCATTGAGTGGAGGAAATGTGTGCTTAGCTCTTTAAATACAGGTGTTAATTGCTGAAATTAATTGGTAATCATAGCACCTATTCAGAAAGCCCTAGCATCCCCATCTCTAGTAATTACCTATTAGAAACTTAGCATCCACAAAATTACCCCAGCCTTGTTGAATCCTTTTATATATTCAGCATACTTGAATGCTCTCTTGGGCTATCTGAGTTCAGAAAACATTCCAAATTTCAGTATTTTTGTTCTAATTTAGCCCTTTTCCTCTACTGTAAAAATTGGGTATCCAAAAGAGTTGAGATTTGGAGTTCTAGGGTTCTGGTTCATTTTTTGACTGCCACATTCAAATTGGCAGGCTTTGGATTGATTGCTTTTTACTCTAATCTTTAGTTTCTTCATCTGTGAAATGGGAATTAATGAGTTTATCTCAGGGTTTATTAAGATCAAATGAGATAAAAATATGGCAGCACCTTGTAATCTGCTTTTAGGGATTGTGCTAGATTTAGTCTCATGCCTGACAACTGAACAGTATAATCTTTTTAAAATCTCTGCTCCAATGAGGATACACTGGTTCTTCAGTCATTTCCGCTGCCTGACTCTGGACCTTCCCCTACGTGGTTATGCCATTTATGCTTTCACTTACTCACGTGTTCCTTTGATGGAATTTACTAAGCTCCAATATGTGTCAGCCACTGTGTTAGGGGCTGGGGACACAAGAATGTGTAAACCCCATCCTGTCCTTGGAGTGCCCACGGTCGAGTGGGAGACAGGCAATTATAGGAGGGCTTGAGTGCCACCAGAGGGGACCGCAGAACTGTGGGTGCTCAGTAGAGGGGCGCCTGACCTAGCCTGGAGGGTGGTCTGGAAGCTGTCTGAGCTGAATCCTGAAGCAGAACAAGGGGTGTGCTGAGTAGATGACAGGAGGGTACTCTAGTTGGGGGGGGCAGGATGGCAAAGGTGGGAGGGGCTCTAAAGGGCGAGTATGGCAGAAGGGCATGGTATGGTAGTGGGGAGGAAGTGAGGTTGGCCGTGGGAAGCTTTAGTCAGATTTAGGGTTTGGGAATATCATTTGGGGGCTGCATGGAGGATGGGCAGGAGGTAACAAGACTGGAGGTGGAGGTACAGCTTTCTGCATTTGAGTTGATTTCAGTTTGACTTGCCCCCCCTCTGCTCTGGGAGAGGAGGCCCAGCAGCTCAGCCCCTTGAGCTGATTGAGCCAGTTCACCAGGCTCTCACTCTTTGAGAGTGAACCAACACCCGGTGCTGTTAAGGTTCACGTCCCAGAAGGTATTTCTAAGTTCAGCCGGAGCCTCAGACCAGAGTTCAGCACTGGCCCTGCCTCTGCGGGGATGAGGGAGGCCCTCAGTTTAGAGGAGGTACAAAACCTGCTCCAGGGAAAGAGGGCTGAGGAAGGAGAAACTCAGAACAGCCTCACTGATGCAGACACAGCAGCGACATTGCAGTTTCTCCAAATCTGGCACAGGCAGCCCCTATCTGGTCATTGCTTCCTTGTTGGTTCAGGGCTGCTTCCAGCTGAGTCCACCGGAAACACTGCAAAACAGAACTTTTCTTTCTTCTGCTGTTGAAAGAAGGAAGAGATTTTGATGGGAAGAGGCACCTGTTTTCCACTTCCTGGTGTCAGAGAGTTGGTGGGTGCCTGTCTGCCTCCCAAGGGGCCTTAGCTCAAACTTGACCCAGGAAGGTCTGGCCCTGGCTGTGCTCAGCCGCCTGCAGCGAACGTTCCTGCCAGCAGGTGGCAGCAGGCCTCTCTGCCGAGGTGCCCGACTGTCCCTGCTGACCACAGCCATGCCACACCTCTTGGCATGGGGGCTGTGTGTTTGGCGCTAGGGAGGGTAGAAATGAATCAGACATGGGCCCTGCCCATGGGGAAATCAGAGCACAGGCAGAGAGTCAGATTCCCAGGCTATAGACTCTGAGATGTGAGAGGCAGGCCAGTGTAGGGGATAAAGTGAGCACAACAGGACTCAGACAGATCTGGCTCTGACCCTGACACCGCCCCTTGCCAGCCGGGTTACCTTGGCACCCTGTGGAAGGTCAGTTGAGCAACAAGTATAATAGCTAACATTGATGTGGTGCTTCCTTTGGTCAGCACTGATCTAGGTGCTTTATATGCATTGACTCATTTCATCCTCAACAATCCTTGAAGTAGGTACAATTACGCCTCCATTTTACAGATTGGGAAATGAAGGCACAAAGAAGCTGAAATTCTTTCTCAAGGTCCTGCAACTAGTGGATGGGAGAGCTGGAGTCAAACCTAGGCAGGGCAGTTACTCACCTTTGTGATGGTGCATCTGCAGGGCCGATATAGTGCCCGGCACCAGAATGTGGCCTTGTATTATGAGCAGCTGTTATGACTTTAATCATTCATGAGATGGGGATTACATAAGCTGTGTCCTCATCAGTGCTCCATGTTTAGTGTCACTCATTCTCCATCTTCCTGGCAGATTTGGGCACGTGAACGTGGCACACCTCCTTTTGGATCACGGGGCTGATGTCAATGCCCAGAACCGGCTGGGGGCCAGTGTGCTCACTGTGGCCTCCCGGGGTGGCCATCTGGGTGTGGTGAAGCTGCTCCTGGAAGCCGGGGCCTTCGTGGACCCTCACAACCACTCGGGCGAGCCACCAGGGATAGGGGGCAGCAGGGATGAGCTGCTGGACATCACAGCCCTGATGGCCGCCACTCAGCATGGGCATGAGGCTGTGATGCGCCTGCTGATGGAGTGGGGTGCAGACCCCAACTATGCGGCCCGGACTGTGGGCTGGAGCCCGCTGATGCTGGCCGCGCTCACTGGGAGGCTTGGTGTGGCCCAGCTGCTGGTAGAGAAGGGAGCCAACGCCGACCACCTCAGCGTGCTGGAGAAGACTGCCTTCGAGGTCGCACTTGACCACAAGCACAGGGACCTTGTAGACTACCTGGACCCGCTGACCACCGTCAGGCCCAAAACAGGTCAGGCTGCATCCCCCACCCCTCTGTGGCTTCACAGAGGCCCCGAAATTGTGTTTATGTGGCTGAAGCTGAGGCTTGCCCAACGGGAAGGGCACATGGAAATCAGAGTCCAGCCCTGCAGACAGTGAGACTTAGGATGTGGCGTGTTTAAGAATCAGATGGGCATGTCTGTTGCATTCAGGTTCCTGGCCCACCCTCCAGAGAGTCTGATGTGATAGCTCTGGGGAAGAGCCTGGAAACCTGCATAGCAAGGCCACTCTCTCTAACCAGATGATTTTGGTGCAGGTGGTTCTAGGATCCTTCTAGAACAAGGGCCAGCAAACTTTTTCTGTAAAGGGCTAGATAATAAATATTTTAGGCTTTGTGGGCTATACAGTCTCTGTTGGAACTACAACACTCAAATCTGCTAGAGTGAAAGCAGCCCTGCACAATATGTAAATGAGTGGCTGTGCTGTGTTTCGATAAATTATAATACAAAAACAGGCAGCAGGGTGGACTTGACCTTTGGGCTGTAGTTTGCCAACACCTGTTCTAGAACAATGTGCCTAACCTGTTCTGCCAATGATTAGTCCCCAAAGACTAATTCACATACAGTTTGTGAAAATTAGCCCCCTTTTAAGTTTAATTATTTCAAAAACACTTGCCAGTGTGTCCTATATTTTTTTTTTCTTTTTGCCATCTTTGTGGCATTTAAAGGATTGTCTAAACAATCTTTATCAAATCTGCCACAGGACATACTGCGTTTCAAAACCTCTAGTTCGTTGAGCAGTAGGACCACAATATACAGCCTTGGTACCCTCTATCTGTAGTGGGTCTGACTTCAGCGACAGGACTGAGACAACCTAGGGTGTAACAACGGGCTGCAGTGCAAGCATCTAGGGCTGAAAGGGAAAGAATTGAAGAAAATGTCTTCAGAAAAATTAGCAAAAAGGACCTAAAAGAGTTAAGTTTGATACCATCCAAAGAATATACAATAGTCCCATCAATCAAAAGACACTGAAAATTTGGTAAATGCTTATTAGAAATGCACCATTCAGTCAGACCAAATCTAAAATAGATATGTTTTAAAAGCCTGACCAGGTGCAGTGGCTCATGCCTGTAATCTCAGCACTTCCAAGAGGCTAAAGTGGGAGGATCACTTGAGGCCAGGAGTTTGAGACAAGCCTGGGCAACATAGTGAGACCCCATCTCTAAAAAGAAAAAAAGAAAAATACAAAAATAGCCATGAGTGGTGGTATGTGCCTATAGTCTCAGGTACTTGGGAGGCTGAGGCAGGAGGATCATTTGAGCCCAGGAGTTGGAGACTGCAGTGAGCTGTGATCATGCCATTGCAGCCTGGGTGACAGAGTGAGACCCTGTCTCCAAAAAAAAAAAAAAAAAGCCTTTAATGACAGGTGGCAAAAATGAGGGGGATACCAAACAGAAAGGAAAAAGAAGTGTCAACTGGAAGTCTCAACAGGAAGCTGAGGCAAAATTAACATAAGCAGACAGTTTATTTGGGCCAACCTTGAGGATAGCAACCCAGGAGCATAGGTTCAAGTTGCCCTGAATATACACTCTGAGTAGTAGAAGTTACAAGTGGGTTTTTAAAGGCAAAAAAGGGGTACAGGGGGTGGGCTGATACAGAGTTGTTTGTCAGGAATTCTCATTGGTTCACAGGAATTCTCATTGGTTCACAGAAATAACATTGATTAGTGATTGGCTATACATTATTAAGATATAGGATGTGGGCTATAGTCTCATGTGTGGCATTATTAGGTAATGTATAGCTACTCGTGGCAATAGCGAGCGATTTCAAGAGATGAATACATAGCTCAAAAGGTGGAGTAGGATGTGATTGCTGTCTCATTTTAATATCTCTCTGGGCCTGATAAATTTAAAAGGACTCATATTCCTCAGATAAAATTTCTTTTCTTGTAAGTGAAGTTTAGGAATACCTGTCTGAAGCCAAGAGACCTCTTAACCTTGTACAGATTGGGAAACTGAGGCCCAGAGGCGGGGGAAAGCTAGTCAGAGGTCATATACTCATTGGAAGCTGCGTGGGTGACACCTAGGCGGCCGGGATCCTGTGGGAAGAGCACCTTGAGGTGACTGCCCAGCAGCAGCACTTGCAGGGCTCCAGGAGCCGGGCCAGCCGGGACTCTTCTGAGCTTCTGCCCTGTCCGTGAGATGGATGCAGTGACACCTATTGCAAGGCGGTCATTAGCAAAATATATGTTGTCCTCTGGTGTGTGTGGCATTGAGCCCAGGGCAAGAACACAGCTGCAGTGTTAGGTCCTCAGAAAAGGTCACAGTTAGAAATTAGCGCTCTGGTCTCCCAGTATAGGGCTTTGTTCTGGGCACAAGGCTGTTGCTGTCTTTAAAGGTTTTGATTGGCTTTTTTCTGTGGCTGTGGTAGGGAAGGAGTCTTTGCTGAATCTTCCTTCACCCCCACAGGGACCCTCTGAGGAGGGTGTTCACCCATTTTACAGATGTGGGAGCTCAGGCTCAGAGTGGAAAATCCAGAATGTGGCCCCACCTGTGACCACCACGTGGTGCCTCTTCTGCTATGTGCGATTCTTCCTCAGCTTCCCCTCGGCCTCTGAGTCTTTTACTGAGTGCCAGGTGTGGGCTTAGCTCCCGACAGGCCTTGTTTTAGGCATTGTCCTGCCACCTTGGGTTCATGATGTCCTCATTTCCCCAGGACACGGAGGCTCAGACACATTGGTGGACATGGCCAAGGTCACTGTGTGATTCAGTCGGCACAGAGGTGCCTTGAACCAGTTGCCTGAGTCACCAAGCTGCTGTTCCCTTGTCTGCAGATGGGTGGCAGGAGCAACATCCACCTCGCAGGACCACCGCAGGATTGCATGAGATCTCCCTGGCCCAGAGGAAGTGCGTGAGAAATGTCAGCTCCTGCCGCTACCTGTTATCGTTACTGTTGTTGTATTTGACAGGATCAGACCTCGAGTCTTCCAGCAGGGTTGGGTCATGGGCCCTATCGAACAGACCCCATTTGAGGCTCAGTTCTCCCACTCTGTGGCTGGGTGGTCGTGGGCACAACAATTGTTCCTTCAGGACTTTAGTGTCCTCTCTCATAGTCATGATAAAGACTATTCGCTTGTAAGAGTTTTGTGAGGAATAGTAAGATCGTGCCTATAAAATGTTTGTCCCAGTACCTGCCACATAGACAGCATCCAGTAAATGGAAATTATTATCATTTCATATGTTTTTGTTGACCATATATTCAGGTATTTTACAAATATTTGCTTAGTGCCTACTACGTACCAGGCACCATTCTAGGCACTTGGGATACATTTGTGAACAATGGAGACCCAAATCCCTGCCCTTGAGGGGCATGGCCTCTATAGGGGAACACAGGCCATAAAAAGGGAAGAAACATACTAAGTAGATTATATAGTAAGGTAGGTGATAAATGTCAGGGGATTAAAAACAAACAAAAACAAGGGCAAGGGAAAGGGAGTGTGACAGAGTTGGGGTGACACAGGCTGCCATACGAAATAGGGCACTTGGGTGGCCTCCCTGAGAAGGTGGGATCACAGCAGACCTGTGTGCAGACCCTGTGGGCTCCCTGGGAGAGCCCCAGGTGGGACAGCAGCATGGTGAAGGCTGTGTTGTTAATAGTGACAGAGATGATTAATAAATAACATAGTCTGTAGCTCTTCCTGTGAGATGCTGGAAACCCACCCCCGCCCACCAGGGCCTCGGAGGTGCCCTGGTCCCTCCCTTGCATTAACAGCAGGGCAGGGTACTCTTGCTGCTGTAACTGTCATCGTGACAACCCCCCATGCCCCACCATGGTTGTGGTGAGGAGGTCAGGGCAGATTTCTTCTCCTTGGCGTGGGGTAGGGTCCCTGGGTCTGCTCTGATATAGACGAGGAACTCGGAGGCCAGAGTGAAGAAGGGTCCAGCCAGAGTCACTTGGCATCAGGGCCTAGCTGCCCTAGCTTCTTGGGATCAGGCTAGATTGCCAGTGATTAACTTATACCAGATGGTTGCTTAGCAGTCAACCCTAAGACCAGGTGACACTCTTTTCTGTCACAGGGTCTTGGCTTGAGAAAACCCTGGCCCTCAGCAAGTTTGGCTCTTAAATACTGAAAGGAACATGAAATATTTTTTTTTAACTACAGTGCAGAATTTTTTCTTTTTCCTTTGTTTTTTTTTTTTTTTTTTTTTTTTTTAATAAAGAGACAGCATCTGACTCTCACCCAGACTAAAGAACAGTGGCTCGATCATAGCTCACTGTAACCTCGAACTCCTGGGTGCAAATGGTCCTCCCACCGCAGCCTCCCAAGTAGATTCGATTATAGGCATGCATCACCATGCCCTGGCTAATTTTTAAAAATTTTTTTGTAGAGATGGGGTCTTGCTATTTTGCCCAGACTAGTCTTGAACTCCTAGCCTCAAGATCCTCCCACCTTAGCCTCCCAAAGTGCTGGGATTCCAGGAGTGAGCCACTGTGCCTGACCCAGGACCATTTCTTTTTCTTTTTTTTTTTTTGGAGACAGAGTCTCACTCTGTTGCCCAGGCTATAGTGCCTGGTGTCAGCCCAGCAACCTCAAACTCCTGGACTCAAGCAATCCTCCTGCCTCAGCCTCCCGAGTAGCTGGGACTATAGGCATGCGCCACCATGCCCGGCTAATTTTTTCTATATATTTTTAGTTGTCCAGTTAATTTCTTTCTATTTTTTTTAGTAGAGATGGAGTCTCGCTCTTGCTCAGGCTGGTCTCGAACTCCTGAGCTCAAATGATTCACTAGGATTACAGGTGTGAGCCACCACACCCAGCCTTAGGGCCATTTCTTGATAGTATTTCACAGGCAGAATGAGACAACTGATTTCATGGTAGTGTTTGTATTAGCCATTAAGAGTTCTGGAATTAAGTAGCTAACCTTGCTGGGGTGGCTACTGGTCGCTAATAAAGAAAAGAATTGCTCTTTAGGTGGAGTCTTAACATTTCTGAAGCATTTTCTCACTTTTATATATATTATCATTTAATAACCTATAGCAACCAGGTGAGCTGGATGCTACTCCCACATTAGTGGTGAGGAGACAGCTCTCTCTAGAAGTGTGTGCTCAAGTTCAGATGCACTGACTCCACACTTGGTGCTCCTGGCCTGGATGTGGCTCCTTCCTGTTGCCCAAGAGGGCCGATCTGGGCCAAAGTCAGCCCAGAGTCACAGGTACCCTCTGGCAGCTGCTCCATCCCTCAGGGCCAGTTAAAGGCTATAGGAAGACCTGCATGCAGCCTCCCCATAAGCAGACTGGCCATGAAGATGTTTGCTTTCTGACAGGAGCAGGGTACCTGGGGCCCGAGCTTGGACAAGGCAGCTGTGGGATGATCACATGAGAGAGGGGCAGGCACTGGGTAGGTGCAGCAAGGCTCAGCTATGTGGGAGGCCTGGGGATCCTGCACGAAGATATCCAGGTGGACAGCTGTGTCTGCAGGTCTGGGGCAGTTCAGACTGCTCGTTTGGGAAGGAAGGCAGACATTCACATTGGCTCTGCTGCTGCCTACGGCTGTGACCTCCCTTTGAGCTCAGTCACTCAGTATTTCAGGAATCTTCTGCTTTGGAATTATGGTTGTACCTATAGTTTTTAGACGAAAAAATCATTGTTTCTTTTTAAAATTTCAATAGGAATCCAGATTTTTCCAAGACCATGCTTTTCAATATATCTAAGAAAGGACACCCCAAAGTTTGGAATACCTAAAAATGATTGGTTTGTGTATGTGGGATCAAGGCAGTGGTCTGCTGCTCATTTGTGTTTTTTGGCCAGATGACCTGCCAAGATCTGTGTCTGAGGCATTTTTAGACATTCTTTGGTAATAAACCTTCCAGAGGGCTGCTGGATTCGCCCGTTACACAGGTCTCTAATTAGATTGCTTTTGAGAAGTAGATCCTTTTTAAGCCGGGCTGTGTTGTTACACCCTGGTGACTGCTGTTATATTAAACCTTTCCGTGGTTAACTTTTAAAATCTTTGTTTACCCAGATGAAGAGAAAAGGCGACCTGATATTTTCCATGCATTGAAAATGGGTAAGCGCTTTAGAAAATTTTTTTGGATATTTAAGAATACAGGGCCACATTCTCCCAACTTAATATTTGTAGTCCTTTTCAAGGCCATCCAGAATATTTGAGAGGGAAACATGCATTTTGGTATTTGGTGGGCTGGTATTTACTATGGAGCTCTGCACACAGGTTCCGGACTGCCCTCCCAGGCTCTGCCACACCTCCAGCCAAATGCTATGGCTGTGCCCTAACTTTCCCTACCTAGGAAATGCTTCTCTGTGTGCTCACCCACTCCAGTCTCTTTGTGACAAATAGACCCCACCTCCAGGAAGCCCTCCCTGATCTTTAGCCCCTAGCAAGACCTGATTGCTCCTTCTGCATGCTCATTGCCCTTGTATGTCTCCTTCATCTGTTCTCTTAAGACACTAACAACACTTCTGTCTTTTAGTAAACACTTCTATCCATTTGTGTGCTTGTCTCCGTCCCTCACAGACCAAGGGATTTGAGAGTGGGAGCTGTCTCTGACCCAGCTTAGCAGTCTCTGCGATGCCTGCAGCCCATAGCAGAGGCAGGGTCAGTGCATGTTTGTTACACGAACCAACTGGATAAATAAGTCTGTGGTGCCAGGCCGTGGATCATCTGGACTCCTGCTTATGTTGGCAGGAAACTTCCAGCTGGTCAAAGAGATTGCCGACGAAGACCCAAACCATGTGAACCTGGTCAACGGGGACGGCGCGACCCCCTTGATGCTGGCGGCGGTCATGGGGCAGCTGCCTCTGGTGCAGCTGCTGGTGGAGAGACACGCCGACGTCGACAAGCAGGACAGTGTGCACGGCTGGACAGCCCTCATGCAGGCCACCTACCACGGGTCAGTGCCAGCTACACCCCCTCCGAGATGAGGCTAAACCAGTGCTCTGGCCTCAGATGGGGCTTCCTTATCTGATGGGTTTTCTGGTCCTGAGATGCTACATGTAAACACTAGGGCTGTCAAGACATTGAGACATGCAAAGAAGATTAAAGTGACACAGGCTCCTTTCATCTTGCACCCTTCTATATCCAGATTTCCTATTGTCCCATGACAGAGTTTCACAGTGACCATGAAAACCATGCAGTAGGAGCATTTTATGCAGAAGAGTAAGTTTCATGGGTTGGTTTCAGTTGAGCAGAGCGATTGGTTCATTTGGAGTTTTCACACTAAGATACAGTGAGCTCTTTAGGTCGCCCCTGTGTGAAAGGAGCATCGGAGGTGGCTTCTCGTGAGGTTTGGTGGTGAGATGTGTCCTCACCCTCTCCTTTTGAATAGGCCTCAGCATGTCCTGGGTGCTTAGGAATCCCTGCTCATCTGATCATCCCAGGAGGGTGGGGTTCTCACCCTCCTGGAGGCCTCCTCTTTGTGGTGGGCACTTGTAGCTGCTAAGTGGTCTGACTCCACTTTAGGGGCTCTTCCCTTGCCCTGTTTTGGGTGATCATATATCTTTCCTGTGTCCTCTGAAAGTAATTTGTTTTCCTATATCATGAGTCTCAAAATTCCATCTCAAGTGTCTTGGCATGTACAAAGCTTTCCCAGGGGAGAGGCCCTGATGTACAGTGAGAGTAGCAGGGTCCAAGGTAGGCCAGTGGAGGGGAGTGGTGGCCAAGTGTTTTTTGGGAAGAGCCCTACACATTTTCATTTTGTTTATGGAGGGAACATTTAGACTTATTTAAATCATGTTTGCTTCTCACCTGCCCAAGGGATAGGGAGTGGCGGGGTGTGAGTCTGTTTGCAATTTTCCATGCCCCTCTTAAATGCTCAGAGACTGTAGTTAATGTTGTCAGTCTTGCTGCCCAGGAGCAAAGCCATGCTTTTGCTTTCAGTGAGTGTAACTCTGGCATTTTCTTTTCTCCCCAGGAATAAGGAGATTGTCAAGTACCTGCTAAACCAAGGGGCTGACGTCACCCTCCGTGCAAAGAATGGATACACAGCCTTTGACCTAGTGATGCTGCTGAATGATCCCGGTGGGTGATTCTAAGAAAAGGGCTGTAAATCCACCCAGCCTCTCTCTGGCTGAGTCAGGATAACCACCTGCTTTATGAACTGTATTTTAAGCACTTGCTTATTCATGGGGGAAAGCCAGTCTCAAGTGTCAAGAGCTCACTACATGTTCTCCCAGTGAAGCGCTGGGCTTGGACTGGGTAGTCCCTGAGGGTTCCTCCAGCACCAGCCTTCTAGGAGTCCCCAAAGAGGGAAGGTACACAGGCACGTGTCTGGCTTTGCAGTTCACACAAATCCTAGAATGGTATCTGTGCTTTGCAGTCAGAAACCCCGAAGGACTCAGGAGGAAACATATACAGGCCTTTGACAAACAGAATGGGAGATGAAGTGATGACCCCCCCCCCAGCTTAAATATGTAGCTGGAGGCTGCAGGGTCAAGGGTCCTGTGCTGGGGCTGTGGCCATTATTATCTCTACCTCTCTTGGTCCCCGGCTGGCACCTGCCGTTTCCCTCTGGCTATGATAGGGCCTCTGCTAGGGTCAACTTGGGTCCTCTCCCCATGGCCCAACAGACATATTTTCAGATAAAACACTGCCTTTTGTGTCCATAGACACGGAACTTGTTCGACTGCTGGCATCTGTCTGCATGCAGGTGAATAAAGACAAAGGCCGGCTCAGCCACCAACCACCCCCGCCCCTCTCGAAGGTCCGACAGCCCTGGAACATCCCAGTGCTGCCCGATGACAAGGGCGGGCTGAAGGTTTGCCTTTCCTATCTTAACGGGGTTCAGAGGGCCAAGGGGATGGGGAACCTGCTGCTTCCTGTTCACCCAGGCTGGTTCAGGCTGGGGGCCCAGCAGGGGTGGCACGTGAGCTGGAGGTGAGCAATAGGAGATGATGGAGACAAGGCAGTGGTGGCTGCTTTGTAAGAATGTGGGTCCCTGTTGCCAGATCTCCCTTCAGGATTTTGGTGTGAAATCTCTATAAGTGTAGGAAATTTAAAAAAATTCTGCGTGCTGTAGCACTGAACTGGCCAAACTAAACACATCTCTCCCCAGGGGCTCTGTTTGCAGCCTCTGCTTTACGGCGCACAGGATATTTGCTCATTGCGCCACTCTGGGGTCTCCCTGTGGTCCGCAGGCCCCACCAGCTTCCTGGAAACAAGCACACTAAAAACAAGCTTTGGTTGCTGATTCTAACTGCAAGCTTGGACTTTCTGTTTGGATTTCTCATCTTCTATATCCTGCTCTACTTGTGTGAAATCAAACTTATTCCCAAGAAAACAAAACAAGACTCTGGCATTGTTTGCTGACCTCCCCATTCTGCTCGGGGTGGCAGCACCTGCTGAGATCTGCGGACTTACCATTCTTTTTGTGGCTGTTGCTCACTCAAGCCTCTGGGTCCCTTCTCACAGTGTTGTTCACGCAGATACCTTCATTCTGCTCTTACTGCTGTCTCTGCAGGCCAAGTCCTCATGGACTCCCCTTGTGGCTGTACAGGAACCTCTAAGAGGTCATGGGTTATAAGAATCCCCCAGGGGCAGCCCCTGTCCTCTGTCTAGGTGGGGAGGAATCAGCTACAGGAGCAGATAGCCCAGACCTTGGTATAGACACCTGAACAACATGACACTTCTCATGTTGTCACTTGAGTGGGAGTAAGGGAGTTATGCAATGGTAGATGTTAATGAGTTTGGAGCTGCCTCTGTGTCCATCTGTCTGTCCCTGTCTCACTGTAAGACCTCATATAAGTTAGTATTCCCTATCTGGGTCTCTGTTTCCCAATCTGTGCAATGAGGAGATTGATTAGAGGAGGGGCAGCAAATAGGGTTCAGTGCCACCTTCAGTTTATTGGAAATGACCACCAGAGGGCAGGGTTAGGAAGGATTTAGTGAGCACCCATGGCTTATTGGGAATAAGTGCTGTGATCGATTGGTAATGCCTGCCTGGGGCCAAGGCAAGGGGAAGGCAGGTAGGTGTGAAGTATATTCACTATCCCTGGGCCAGACAGGTCCTGGAGTATGACCTCTGCTCTGTGTTCCCTTGGCAGTCCTGGTGGAACCGAATGTCCAATCGGTTCCGAAAGCTCAAACTGATGCAGACTCTGCCACGCGGGCTGTCTAGCAACCAGCCTTTGCCTTTCTTTGATGAGCCCGAGCCAGCTCTGGACTCCACAATGAGGGCAGCCCCCCAGGACAAGACAAGCCGCTCTGGGCTCCCTGATGCAGCCCCCATGACCAAAGACAATGGTAAGAAAAGGCTGCTTGTGTGGTAGAATTTCTGGAATGATATGAACCTGTGCCCTCTGTCCTCTATCCTACCTGCCGGGGTTATGTCAGGGGCGAGATGGGGTTGGAATATGACACTGGAGCAGAGTGGCTGGTCTGGTGGAGAGGAGATATAGGCAGGGACACACCTGCATTGAGCATGATGGGATAGGGAGGCACTGGCCAGGGCCAAGGGCCTGTGCCACACTCTTGTGCCACACTCCTTGCCAAGGAACCCCAGGCTAGACAGTGCCTCTCTGTTGCCTTTGACAGGTTTTCCCCACCTCTTTGTGACACTGAAAGGATCTTGAAAATAGAATGAGTTACCTGGGGGTGGGGGGCATAGGTACTGAGCTCCCCACCACTAGAGGCATTCAACAGATTGGATAACTTTGCCAGTTTGCTGAAGGAGATTCCTATACTGATTGGAAAATTGATTAGATAAGATTCCTTCTACAAGTCAGATTCTGCGTATCTGGATGAGCTCCTCTGGCACCACTGTCTGAGACAGACTATCGAGCTGGGTGCAGCACTGTCTGACCCAGCACAGCAGTGGTTTATGGAAAAGCTGAAAACATGCTCTTAGTTACCTTTTAAATGATTTCTTTCTATTAAAATATTGAATACCAATTATTATTAAATATTTAATCACCCAGGAGAGTTGGTTTTCCAGGATGAAGGCTGGCCCAGTCACTCATCCTCATGTCATGGACACACTGGGGGAGGGGAGTCATTTCAGGAAAATTCCATTTGTCTCTCAGGTCCTGGGAGCGTGAGAGGAGAAAAGGAGGATGCATTATTGACAACCATGGTGAGTTGTGGGGCTTTTCTGAGAGCATTTTAGGTCCCTGCCAATCATTAGTTGATTGATTTACAAGGAGGGATGTGGGCGTTTGTCTGTCTTTGTGGTGGTCACAGATGGGGTTGATGCTCAGAATCTGTAACCGTGGGTTCCTCTCTGGCACTGAGGACTAGGAACAGATGCCAGCCCTAAACTGTGGGTAAGGCTGTGCCGGTGCTTGGTAGCCAGGTCCAGCCCTGGTCCTGTTCTCAGGGAGCCAGGGGCATTGCGGGAAGAATTGAGGGGCAGCATCAGATGTGGAGACTCACCCTTTGAGGTATGAGGAGCCAGGAGGAGAGGAGTCAAAGAGGAGGCCATATTTCTAGCCCAGGAGAGGCCTCAGTTTCCTCATCTGTAAACTAGGTATGTATCAGGATTAGGTTCAGCTATGAGTAACAGAACTTCCCCAAATAGCAGTGATATAAACAAGGTAGCAGTTTATTTCTCTCAAGTGAATGAAGTTCAGGATTAGTGTAAGACTCCATGGAGTTAGGAACCTAGGTTCCTTCTACCTGTTGGTCCCCCACATGTGGCTTCTGTTCCTGAGGTTACCTCTTGGTCCAAAATGGCTGCCAGAGCTCTGGCCATTACTGCCTCATTCCAGCCCATAGGGAAGAGGAGAGAAGAGGTAGCCATGGGCATATGCCAGCTATCTTTAAAGATGTTTCCCTGGAACTGCAAAGTATTACTTCAAGTTACATCACAGTGGCCAGAATTTAGCCATATGTCTACATCATGCTTCACAGGGAGCTGGAAAATAAAGTCTTTGTTCCAGGCAGCTGTGTGCCCATCCAAACATCGGAGGTGTCATTTCTAAGAAAGATGTGGAAGGTAGATACTGGGGGACAGTTGGTAGGCTCTGACTTGGGGAATGATATCCCTCATGGCTATGGCTTTTAAATGAGATCATTCCCAGGAAGTTTTTTTTGGCATGCCTGACCCCAAATAAGCTCTGTTGTGTGACCTTGGATGTGTTACCTCACCTCTCTGGGCTTCATGAAATGAGCCTAATGGTTAAAGTTGGACTTGAGGCCCTGTAGCATGAAGACCCTAACACTGACCAGTAGAGGGCAGTATTGGTGAGGACAAAAGAACAGAGGCGCTCCCTGCAAGGCAGCAGCAGGGGCAGGCGCTGCAGAGCCCTTTACTGGGTCCTCAGGGGTCTGCCCACCGCACCCTGCCATGCCCACAGGTGTGACCTACAGTTATAACACCGACTGCGGGAACGTGTGCTGCCCAGCATTTGAGCATGTTAGTAAATAGCAGTAATTATTTTCGGTATGAAGACAGAAATGCTGTTATAGAAACTTTGGAAGATGCAGTAAAATATAAAGAAAGAAAATAAATTCATCCTTGATCACATACCAAGGGATAATCATGGTTGGCATTTTGTGGTATATATCTTTTGAGTATATTTCCTGAGCAATTTTTTTAGCATCTATGAATATGATATCATGTTATATATAATAGCAAATGCTACAGCCCTTACTGTGTACCAGGCACCATTCACAGCACTTTACATATACCAACTCGTCGCAGTGCGTTAGACTCTTACCCCAGGGACTGAAAATGCCCATCCCTGCTGAGTTTGCAGCTGTCAGTCCAGCCCCTCATTTGCAGGGTAAGGTTGTGGAGGTCCAGAGGGGACACACTTGACTTGGAAAGTAGGACTGAGCCGGTAGCAGCCCAGGACGCCACCTTCCTGCCCCGGCGCACTCCCGCCCCACCTGCTCATGTCCTCTAGAGGGCGCCAGGGCCCCGTCCACCCCACTGATGGGCATGTGCAACCATCGGTGCGGACATACCCACCCGCCTGGCTCCTGAGGCGGGTTTAGCTGTGGGATGCCCGTCCCCACAAAGCACCATCTGGCACCAGATTCACTGTCTTTTCTTAATTAAGGTGAACATGGATTGTGTGGATGCTTTTCTTTGATGATCCAGCAGTCATCACTGTGTGGGTTTTATACTGACCCCCAAATCACATTTTCAAAGTTTAAAATTAGATTACAGTTGGAACTGTCAGCAGGAGGCGTGGCTGCAGTGGGCTAGGATGTGGGTGGTGGGCTGGGAGGGAGCATCGCTGGGACTAGTCCTCATCCCTGCCCCTCCTCCCCCACCCATGAGGCTGCTCTCGCTGGTCTCCTGGCAGCTCTGTACCTAGTCCTGCTCTTCCCAGGCCTCTGCATTCCATCATCTCACCGGTCTGGAATGCCACTCCCGTCCTCACTGGGCCAGCTTCTAGTGAGCTGGGTGCCCCCCCAGGTGTGCTATGCCTGTGGCAGGGTGCTCCCTTCTGTGTTCTCCCAGCTCCCCTGCCTCATCTTCGCCCAGTGGCACACCAGTGTCACCCTCTGTCCTCGGCTCTCAGTCCCCTCTGCCCCATCCCCGTCCTGCCACTCTGACAGATCCAGCAGGAGCCCGAGCTGGAGCACAGCAGACGTGGCGTTGCTCAGTTACTAGGAAGAGGGCCCAGAACGCCCAGGGCTCCTGGCTTGGAGGAGCAGGTGGTGGTGCCCTACCCAAGGAGCAGGGAAAGCCTGGAGTCTTTCACCAGAGCCAGGAGCCCTCTTGGGCTCATCTAAACCCCGGCTTGTCTTTTTCAGCTTCGAAATGGAGCCCCCTTCACCAGGCTCCCGAGTGACAAGCTGAAGGCAGTCATCCCCCCCTTCCTACCTCCTTCCAGTTTTGAGCTGTGGAGCTCCGATCGGTCCCGGACCTGCCACAGCGGGAAGGCAGATGCCATGAAGACTGTGCTGCCCCAGAGAGCCAGCAGGGGCCACCCCGTGGGTGGCGGGAGCACAGACACCGTAAGTGGTCCACCCAACATGTTTTTACACCTCCCTCATGGTGCCGAGATCACAGTGTGTTTCGGGCAGAGGAACTTCAGACTGACTAATCCAGAGGGGTTGCAGCTTATTTTTTCTTTCGAATGAGTGATATCCTTTTGTCCAATTAAATCCTACAAAGCAACTCAAAATGTTGGGGTGGAGGCAACATCTGGCCCCTCTGGAACCCTGGAGCTCCAAGGAACCCAGTTTGAAGACCCAATCTGTCGAATCCAAACTTCTCTTTAGTAGATGAGGAAACTGGGACACACAGAAGGGGAGTAGTTTGCTGATGATCACCAAGCAGGCAGGGGTGAGCTTGGGACCAGAAATCAGGTTCTTGGCTTTTAATCTGTGACCAAGAGCAAACACTAGGAAGCAACTGTGTGCATGACTGGTGTTTTCTTGCACCCACAGGGGTCATGAGTTCTGTACGTGAAGCCTATATCTATAGAGCAGATGCAGTGACCCAAGGCCCTGCTGAGCTGGGCAACTGTCTGTAGGATGGGGCTGACCCCTGCACCCACAGCTGCCTCCAGGGCTGTCATAATGTCAAATCGATAGTGGGAGACCCAGAGCCTGGCGCTAGAGATGCTCTGGAAACAAGCTGGACAGGTTTGCATTTAGTCCACTACTCTCAGTCAGGTAGGAATGTGGAAGGAGTTGCAGAACCACCCCTGAGACTTCTTCCATAGCTGCATTGTCTTGAGAGTTCAGCTAACCCCAGAGGGACAGAACATCACCACCTGCTCCGTTCGCTCAGTGAACACTTGCTGAATCCCACTTCTGTGTAGCCCAGTCAGCCGACCCTGCCCCAGAGGCAGCCATGGCAAAGACACAGGCACAGAACATGAGGCAGGGAGCAGTGTAAGGGGTGCCCTGGGAGCACCAGAGAGTTGATTGTGTGTGGTGGTGCAATCAGGGGAGGCCTCCAAGAAGAGGTGACATCTGAGCTGGGATCCACAGGCTGTGGAAGAGCTTTCTCCCCAGTGCAGACTAGGCAGTGGCATCCCAAGCAGAGGAGAGAGGACATGTGTGCAAGGCCTTTGCTGGTGTGCTCTGTCTTGCAAACAGGCCTCATTCTGGGCCCTGGGGATCTGCCACTGTCCCTCCCTCATAGGTGGCCACAGTGGGGTTCTGACACGCAAACCTTTGCTTTAGGTTCCTGTGGCTGCTGTGACATATCGCCGCAGACTAGGAGCTTGAAACGGCACAAATGTATTCTCTAAAGGTTCCGCAGGCCACAGTCTGAAATCACGGTGTTGGCAGGGCCTGCAGAGAATCCCAGAGAGGATGTGTTTCTTGTCTCTTGTAGCTCCTGGCTCTTGGCTTTCCTTGGCTAGTGGCTATGTCACTCCAGTCTCTGCTTCCATGGTCACATTGCCTCCTCTATGTGGAATTCCCTTTTCTAAAGATGTGTGTGATTGCATTTAGGGCCTGCCAGGAAAATCCAGAATAAGCTCCTTCTCTCAAACTCCTGAACTTAAGCATATCTTGGGCAAGCACATATAAGATGATAGTCACTCTCTTGCCTTGTGAGCTGATATTCAGAGATTCTGGGATCAGGACACAGACTTATCTTTTGGGGGCCACCATTCAGCCCACGACAACCTTTGGTCACACTGGGTGCCTTCTCTGTGCTGAGGCCAGAGCCCGAGACTGAGGATACGTAGAGCAGAGAACAAAGTCCCCATGGAGATGACCATCTTCGGGGGAATCAGACACATAGGCAGCGCATGGTAAAGGTGCACTCTTGGGTTGTGACAAGGGTTGCAGTGTGAACCAACTGGGTGCTAGAAAGAGCACACAGATGGGAGGGAGCTGGCCCTGACTGCACAGGGATGGGCATTGTCAGGAAACCCAAAGGAGGTCAGCGTGACTGTGACAGAAGCTGTGCAAGTGCAGGGGAGGGTGGCAAGATCAGGAGAGGGTGACAGGGTTGGGTCAAGAGGACGGGAGCAGGAGCACCAGGAGCAGGAGCACCGTGCAGGGCCAGAGGTGCTGGGAAAGGCTCCAGAGGAAGTGGGGAGAAGACGCAGTCCAGGCGCAGGCACCAGCAGGGCAGTGTCACGGAAGCGGGCTCCGGGTGTGGTCACTGGGCCAGGCTGTGCTGAGAGGGCTGGACTTTGTCCTGGATAGGGTAAGGCTTCCGGGGTTTGTCAGCAAATGACACGGTCAGGTTTCTTTTCTGGCAGACACTGGAGCTGAGTGAGACTGGCAGCAGGGTGACCCATGGGAAACAATGTGAGGGAACTTACCCGAGCTGATGGGCAGGTGGTCAGCAGGTAGACACAGCTCTGTGCCTCAGCAACTCCTGGCAGGCTGGGCACTGCGCAGGGATGCGCTGGGTGGTGTGTGCTTCGGCTGGGGGATGCAGCAGAGTAGCACAGGGTCCCACCCCTTGCCATCCTGCACAGCTGCAGGGAGGAGCATGACCCTAACCACGACACCCACCTTATTCTTGCAGGCTCCAGTCAGGCCCGTTAAGTTTCCAAGTCTCTCCAGAAGTTCAGCCTCTCCCGCCAGTTCTGGAAACGTGAACCACTCACCACATTCCTCAGGCGGCTCCAGTGGGGTAGGGGGCGTGAGCAGGCATGGTGGGGAGCTGCACAGCCGCTCAGGTGGGTCGCTGGGCATTGCCCATGGGAGGTGGGATGACCCCTTGGGGCTGAGGGGTGAGCTGCCCCCATCAGTCTACAAATGGCCCCAGAAATGACTGGCACACAGAGACTTTCTCTTTGATGTGGCTAAGGGACTTTGCAGTGAATTCAAATTTCAGAGTCTCTTTTATGCATTTTCTTGGGGATGCAGGTGGATGGAGAGGGAAGAAATAAAGTACACAATGCCTTTTTTCTTTTGGAGTTTTACAAGAAATCAAGAAAAATGTATGGTATTTTCATGGTGTTTAAAATCCCTGAAGGGGTTGGGCGTGGTGACTCACACCTGTAATCCCAGCACTTTGGAAGGCCAAGGCGGGAGCATCGCTTGAGGCCAGGAGTTTGAGACCAGCCTGAACAACATAGCTAGACCCCATCTCTACTTTAAAAAAATAAAAGTAAAAGATAATAAAATAAAAATCCCTTGAGGTTAAACCTTAGCGAGCTTCTCGTTCTGCCCTTTTATTGAACTGATGAGAAAACTGAAGCTCAGAGTAGACAAGAGATTTGCTTAGGGTCACACAGCAAGGTGGTGGCAATTAGGTCTCACACCAGAGTGCCCAAAGAAATTTATAGCATACTTTTTAGTCCTCCCTAAGTTCATCCAGGATTAACGAAAGCCAGCTTTTCAGGAAGGCCACCCTGTTTACTGTGGAAAAAGCTTTAAGACCAACCAAGCCAAGAGACTAAAACAAGGTATAATCTCACCCACTGGGGATCAGCATTAACACTTTGGTATATTTTGGTATTTTACGAAGTGTCTTTATGTATATTATAAATATTTATAAAATTTTTAAAAGAATAATAATTTATTGAGTGCTTACTATATACCAAATACAATGCCAAGCCCCTTGAATGAATTATCTCCTTTAGTCCCCTGACAGCCTCTGAGGTTATCATCTTCCCTTTACAGATGGGGAAACCAGGGCTCAGGACAGTTAAATAAGTCACCTAGAGTCAGCAGAGCCAGGACTTGAATCCAGGCAGCCTGACTTCAGAGCCTTACTAAGCTGTTAACTGCTCTGTAACTTGCTTTTTCCTTTTCCCACGCACTGCTAGATTGCATGCATCTTTTTATGTCAGTGTGCATATATCCAAAGAATCTTTTTAATAACAAAACAGTATTCCATTTATATGAGGCTTCACAGTTTATTCAACCAATTCCCTGTTGTTGAACACCAAGACTATTCCTAGATTTTTGCTCTTGTAGGTAATGCTTCCCTTAGTAATACCTTTATGTCTCCAGATTTGCCTCCTTGTTCAGTGATTTCCATCTATAAGTTCCCTGGAGTCAGGACAGGGGAGTTTGTGGATTTTTGAGGCTTTTGATACATTTTGCCCTCCAGAATGGCTGTGTTTATACGTGTGAAATATTTATAGCAGTGCCTGGCACGTAGTAAATCCTCTGTAAATATTGGTTGTTAGTGTCCTCCCTCGAGCACCCCCAGCCCTGGGTATTGCCACTTTCTTCCTCCCTTTTATTATAATTCAAGGTTACCAGTAGATTTGGGGAAGCAGGGAGCTGGAAAGTAACAATCGGGATTCAAAGAAGCAGACCACTCCAAGTCTTACGAAGTTAGTAATTTATTGACTCAATTGTGGGAGTAGCTGGGGACATAAAGGTCCCAAAGGGAGAGTCAGACAGTGAGGGACAGTCACTGACTAGCCCTCCTGAAACCATGGTACGGTTGTACCAATCAGCCCAAGCAGCCGTCAGCCAGCACTACAGAGGGGCTGCTGCAGGAGTCTGGGGCAGGGTGTCGCACTGTGCCTGGCGGGGGCTGCCACGAGCTGGCATGGCACAGGGGAACCGAGGGTGGACTGGATCTTGCCCACACTGCCTCTTCCCTGCCTCTTACTATGACATCTTCGCAGTACGGTAGTTGCTGCCTGACGTCCACCTTCTAGTTCTCAAGCAGATTTCTCGTGTGGTCAACTCTGGCCTGGAGCCACTTAGGGAAGGGAGTCTGGGAGACGTGGTCACAGCCCAGCCAGCACAGGACAGCCCTCCACCCCCGTGTTGGAGGGAATACTCTGTGCCCATGGAGCTCATCCCAGTTTCTGTCTCCTCAGGTGGCAGCATAGACAGCGTCTTGTCCCAAATTGCTGCCCAGAGGAAAAAAGCAGCCAGATTATCTGAACAGAAGTCCAGCCATCGGTCAAGTCCTGTGGGGCCAGCACCAGGGTCCAGCCCGTCTGAGCTTCCAGTCCCCGCTGCAGGCGGCAACATTCCCGGTGGCAAGGTGCTTATTCTGCATTGACTCTACCTACTACACTCACAGATTCTGTCCTAACGTGGCCGTAAGCCAGGGAGCACAGGCGGTGCCTTAGTCGTGGGACGGGACGAAAGGCAGGTGCCTTTCAGCCAGCCATTCCTTGGCGTCCTGAGAGGGCTGGATCAGTCTGCTGCTTGTGTTCACCTCCTGCCACGTCTCCAGGGCATCTCCAGGTGGGAGGACAGGGCACTGAGGCGCATGGACTGCCAGGGTGCACACCCGCTTCCTGCAGCCTCGAGGTCATACAGCCTCACTTTGCACACATTTGTTCATTGATGAGAGCAAAAGAGTTAAGAGCATGGGTTCAGCAGCAACCGCCTAGGTTCAAGTCTCAGCCCCATACTTTGCATGGGGCCTGGCACGGGGTAAGCCTGTATCAATGTCAGCTGTTGCTGTTGGCAGCATCATTAGTAGTCTCTGTTGTACCTCTGCCTCACTCACCCTTCCTGTGCCTCATTGGAGCATCTGCTCTGTGCTTGGCACTGCCAGCAATGAGCATCCCACTGCGAACTGGGGGATTCAGTGACCACTCGGTGTTACAAGGAACACGAACATCACACCTTAGTGTCACAGGGGCTGTCATGGGGAAATGGGGATGCTGTGGGGCACAGGTGGGGGCCCCTACCCAGGCTGAGTGCCATCTGAGTGGGCATCTGAAGGACGAATGTGGAGCCAGGTGAAAGGGTTGGGGTGGGCCAGGGGTGTTGGTGAGACTGTACCAGGTGAGGGAACAGCTTGTGTAGTGCTCCAGGGGTGAGAGCATGGCATGGGGTGGGTCATAGGCAAGACAGAGTCCGAGCTTCACCTCCCAGCTTCTTGGCACCATTCTTCCCTTAATGTAGCCAGCGAGTAGTCACCCCTCATTAGCGTCTCTGGAGTGTGCACTGCATGAGAACACTAGATGCCTTTCTGTAACGGGAAGTCTTTTAAAAGTGTCTCTGGACTCTGCTCCTCTTCTTCCTGAACCCCTTTGCCTTGGTTGGTTTATGGAGTGAGCCCCCAAAGTGTGGGTTCCCAGTTTGTGAGTGGGAACTGGCTCCTCTACCCAGTGGTCCCCAGGGCCCCCTAGTTGTTCAGACTAGTGCAGTTCCTCCTCTGAGAGGACCCAAGTCCAGGTGCAACCTTCATCATATTTCCTAGATGTCTTCAGATTTCTCCCTGAGAGAAGTCAGGCCACAGCCAGCCTCATCCCTGGGCCTTTGCCTGTCAAAGAAGTACCTTCAGGGATCTATGCCTTAATGCATGTATGAGAAAGAATCTTTATTTTCTGCCCAACTATGGTCGGTTACATAAACTCTTTTTGTTATTCAGAGTTCCTTATGCAATAGGACCTACATAATTAGGTTCTTTTTACAATTTAGGTCCAAAAACAGTTTTTCTCTCCCTACACATTAGCCTGTTTTCCATTATGTTACACAAAGTTATTTGTGTAAAGGACCTATATAATTAAGTTCCTTTTAGAATTTAGCTGTAGAAAAAAAAGACACTACTGATATTTTGATATATATTTTTATCAGATAGTAAGAATTTATATAATTATTGTATTTCTCTTTTTGCCTTTGCTTCTAGGAAACTCAGAGCTACTCATTAAGTCTGCCAGTCTGAGGCTTTGATATACGTTTTTTCTTCTTTGTTGTCTAAAATTTTCTGGTTTTTTCTGATGATTTTTATTGATGTGATAGGTATTATTAGTGTCCTTAAATTGGTATTGGAAATAGGCAGACATCTAAGTTATAAAGATATAAGATGTGAATGTCCAAAGAAGCTGAGTGAACAGTATATGAGAACTCTATTCTATCTGTGCAACTCTTTTATATGTCTAGAATTATTTCAATATTGAAAACATTTGTAAACAAGCCACATGACCAAACGAAAGGGAAAAATAAGAAATGTTCTTTGGTGAGAAGTTAGGAAGTGACTGGTGTAGGACCATCGATAATGGAAAAGGCTTTGTGCATCTGTAAGCAGCACTTTCACTTTACAGCTGGTTAACTGAGGCCCAGACAGGTAAGGGGACGTGGCAGAGGACACAGTGCTAGTAGCTGTAGGGGTGTGACTAGTACCTGGGTTTTCTGATTCATAATGTGCCGCTTTTTGTATCTCACCCCCATCTCTCTGCTCCAGGGGTGGATTTTCCTATAACAGTTTTAATAATGCTGTTTCTGCTTTGCATGTTTTTAAAAGTAGATTTCCTAGTCCTGGTTAAACATTGTGTTGAGTCAAATACCGCCCATGTTCCTGTTGTGGGTGTCTCTTTCATCATCTCTACCCTCCAGCTGACGGCTTATGTATTTGCCTTACTCTTCTCAGCAGAAACTGGAGACCAGCACAAGGCCTCCGTCCGGAACTTCCACTACCTCCAAAAGCACCTCCCCCACCCTCACGCCCTCCCCGTCACCCAAAGGGCACACAGCCGAGTCCTCAGTGTCCTCCTCCTCGTCTCATCGGCAGTCCAAGAGCAGCGGGGGCTCCAGCAGTGGCACCATCACAGACGAGGGTGAGTCCCCTAAGATCCTGAAGTCTGCTCCCCTCACCGTGCTGACTTGGTGGTACAGAGCCGCAAGATGCCCTTAGTTGCTGTAACCATCCTGGGTCAGGTTTTTTTTTTTTTTTTAATTTAAACAAACAATCATGTCCCTCCCCTTCCCTATCCTGCCTTGTATTTTTCTCTTTATTGTGCTAAAAGTACAAGTGGTTTTTGAATATAGGTGAGTTTTGTTTATATGCACAAACATACACCCATAGAAATGCTTCTCCAACACTTAGTTACTTTCACTGAACCCTGTACAAATCAGGATTCTTGTAGTTGCAAGTGAGGGACCCTGCACTCAAACTGATATAAGAAAAAAAAAACCCTGATAATTCATTGGCTCATGATGGGAGTGTCTAGGGTGTGCTTCAGGCATGTCTGGGTCTGTGTGCTTGGGGAGTGTTTTTCTCCGTATCTCAGGCAGGCTGTCTCCCAAGTGGTGGGGAGCAGCTGCAGGCTTGCTTTATCTTCCTACTGACTTTGCAACCCCAGCAGAAAGATTGCCACTTTCTCAGTAGGTCCAGCAAAATCCCAGGAGTAAAGGTCATTGGTTTGGCTTGGCAAATCTATAATGACTTGGGTCATTTGCCCATCCTTGACCATCCTTGACTATCTCTGTCTACGGGGAGGGAATGCATGGATCAGCCTGGCCTTGTTTGCCTTTGGAGCTGGAACTGGGATCTGTCCTGCCAATGATGTATGGATTAGAAGTGGGAGAGAAATGGCTCCTTAAAGGAGAATTGAAGTTCTGGTTTCAGGAGAGCAGGGGTGGATACTGGGCAAACAAAAGCATTAGATGTCCAGTGCAACCTGGAGAACCTGGGAACCTGCCTTTGTCAATCACAGGCCCCTCCCATGGGAATGATGACTGAAGGAAGGCACAGTAGATGGCAGGGCAGGAGATAAGGATTTGCAGTCAGGCCCCAGGAAAGATAAAGGAAGGTGAAGAAAAGAATCCCATCCTTCAGAACTGCCCTCTGGTGGCTCCTGGAAGCTGCAAAGGGGGAAGGAGGGAGGGAGCTTTGGTGAGAGAAGGGGTGCAGGCAGGTGAAAATCAAGGAGTATAAGTCAGAGAATGAGGCCAATTGTACTGTGTGTATGGTCCTCACAGCACGTTTGCAGGCAGCTCATTGCAGCCGCTGGGGAGGAGGGTGCTACACAGGTTCTGTCGAGCAAGATAAGCAAGAATCACCTGCCCAGGCTCCAGTCTGTACTAAGTTGATAAATGTATGCTGCTGTTGGTATCCTCTTTATTTGGGGGCTGCTTTTATTGTTTTGTTATATCCAGTGTGATCATTTGTAAAGGCTTCAGAGCTTTGTTAGCAGTCTCATTCCTCCCTAGCCATGTTTTCTTTGTGGGGTCTCGAGTTTTCCACTCATGAATTCTTCCACTTCAGGGGTTGACAGGAGTCTAAGCTCCTAGGGGTTCAGTTGGGTGTTTGTGCCCCATCATTTTCCAGAAGAGTTGAGACAGTTGATGTGTGAATGGACGGCCCACGCCCACTCTCTTTCCCTCTCGTTCATTATGGAAGACGGTTTGCAAAGTCCTGATTGGGATGAAAAAAGAAGACTCATTGTGGTTTCTTTTTAGATAGATTTCTCTGGTTTAGAAAGACTGGTTTTTCATTCTAGGGTTCCTGGGTCCTGAGGCAGCAAGACCTATGTCCTGTGGACATACTATTGTTACAGGACAGGGGCTGCGATCTGTCCCCAAACAGCTGTTCTTTATGGTTTCTTTTGGGAAACATGTGACCCCAGAGGAGGATGGCACACAGGCTCTTGCCCTGCCCCATTTTTACACCTGTGTCCCCTTCTCCAGACTCCTGCTGGAGATAATGAGGCCTGTGATAACATCACCATCTTAGCCTCCCGTTTGTTCTAGGAAGGCTTCCTGGGCAGTGATAGGGTGCTGAAACTCCTGCTGGGTGTTGAGATAACTTACTAGGAGACAGACATAGTCAACATAATGACATTAGGCTATTGTAACACAAATGAGTTCAAACCTGAGTTATCGGAAAAGTGCAGGGCACCTTGGAAGGCTCCACCGGAGAGTGGGTTTTCTGGCTGGACCATGAGTCTGAGAAGAGACAGGCAAGTTGTATGCTCGAGCCAATTATAAAGTGTACAGGAAATGTCCAAGCTGGTTAGTAAGCACAGATGTTATCAAAAAGTTGCATGAACTTATAATTAACTGAATTATGTATATATAAACAAAATGTATTATTTACTAATTTTTTAGTACATTTGACTATTATCTATGCTCTTGAGGTTATTTCCCTCCTTTATATCTGCATGGCATGAATGCCATATAATGATGTACAACCACCATGCATCTCTTCCCAGCTCCACTTTCACAGACATTGTGTTAGTAGGTTGCAATTGGCCACAAAGAGGGTACTTACCACCATGGAAACCAGCAAATGCCACCAAATAGGGTCTAATTTGTTATTCTATAGATTGTCTTGATATAATCTAGACAGTGAGGGAAAATGTTAATAATGAAGATTAAACTTAAAAGAATGTTTTGTCTATCTTCTTTGTTCATGTAAACAGAACTATCAACCAGCATTCATTCATGTTGGAACTACACTTCTTGGCTATGGATACAAGAGTAGGGCAAAAATGAGTGAAAGCATTTGGTAGGAATCAATTAGCTGTGAAATTTATAATAAAGAATATTATATTTTTTATTGTTTGTAAATTGCTCAAAATCCTTTATATCAGCAAAATCTACAATAGACTTAATGTACCTGCACACATTCCTCCCCACCCCTGAGAGCCAGCTATTAACATTTTTCAGCACACCACTGTGGGCAGAGCCTGCATGTGGAGGGCACAGCAGGAGCAAAGTGTCATGAAAGTACAGGGGATTATATGTGGATTGGGAATTGAGTCATCTCAGGCATCCTCTCAGGCATCAGTACCCTCTTTTCTGTGCAGCTTTCCCAGGTCACTTGGGCTGGGTCTGGTGTCCTCTCTGTCCCCATATCCCCAGTTCATGCCCTTCACCATAGCACTCAGCACCAGTGAGAGAGGTAGAGAACGGGGTGCTGAGCACAGGCCTGATCACAAGACCACTGAATTTGAGTCCCTGCTCTGCCATGACTAGTAGTATGACCTTACTCAAGATAGAGGCCTCACTTCCTCATCTGTAAACAGGGGCAGTAATGGGGTCTACTTCATGGGGCTGTAAACAGCAAATGGGCCATCTGTATACAGGGTGCTTGGCAGTGAGCACTGTGCATTAGCTGTCACCCTCATCATTGTGTCTTGCCAGCACACAGAGCACTTCACGATGGGGCCCTCTCCATCCTTGCACTCCCAGCATGTAGTGGGCACGTTGGTCACTGCTGCATGGATGGATGGATGGATGGATGGATGGATGGATGGATGGATGGATGGATGGATAGATGCTTCCTCATGCTCTTCTCCCAGGTATCTGCCTAGCTCACTCCTCATTTACTGCTCAGTTGTCACCTTTTAAGGGAGGCCTTCTGTGACCATCCTCTGTAAAACAGCTTTTGTAAAACAGAGGACATGCTGTCACCTGTCCCCACCCTGTTCTCTTCCTCCTTGCTGTCTTTGGCCTCTCAGCCACCTTCTTGTCTGTTTTGGTACCTGTCGACTCCCCACTGCCTAGTCTGGTATATCCCTATTGACTGTGTGAATGAATATTTCTCCAAGCCCCCCAGATACTGGCCTGGTCTCTGTTCTTCATCTTCCCTGCTCTGATACCCCAAATCTTCCCCTGGCCTGCATCCTTCCGGCTCTGCTGTTCCACCCAGGTGCTTCCTCCCTTTGTGAAGGCCACAGCCTCCTCCACACACTTGAGCCAAACCTGGGCTCTGGTCTGAAGCCAACCTGCCTGCTCTTAAGTTCTTTCTCAGACTAGGTGAGGACTTGTTGGCATTGACATTTACTCTGCATTCTTGCCCAGAAGAAGGCAGAGTTTTAGTCCCATCAGCTGGAACTCCCAGGAACTTGACGGTTGTGGCCTCGAGAGAGTCAGGCCTGGCCTCGACTCTCCCTGTCTCCGCAGCCTGACGTGGGTGTTGGGAGATGTGGAGGGCCTTCCCTGAGGGGTGGGTGTGGCTGGCAGGTACTCAGGACCCACCTCCAGCCTCATCCCCAGGAGCACAGCTTAGAACTTTCTGTGTCGGGGTTTCTCTTAGAATATGATTTGAAGTAAGATTATCACTACTCTATGGAAATTTGAAGATCACTTTTTTGATGCATTTTACTAAATTCTAAAATGTGGCTTTTTTTTTTCTACATCTTTCCCTCTTGAAGATGAACTGACTGGAATCCTTAAGAAATTATCACTTGAGAAATATCAGCCTATTTTTGAGGAACAAGAGGTAAGGATGTTCCTTTTGAATGTCAATTTAAATCTTACTATTAAAAAAAAAACTTTGTCTAAATATGTGGGTTTTCATTCTGCAAGACTGGATTGATCTTTTTCACTGAGACAGCTGACGAAATAGAATTTGTGTTCAGCACATTTAGTTCAGTTCATTGCAGTGAAATCCTGGGGACCTTATGGCTTACTTTGTTATAATAGAATTTTGTCATTTTGAGCACTGCTCTCTCTAGAAAAGTTTGTGTCTGTCCTGACAATATTTTTGTTGCGTGGGATTGACTGGCAGACATATAGGTTTAAAGTGGGCCAAAGCAAATCCAAAGGAATCTGTGTTATGTGTCTGGATGTAGGGTCTATGGTAATCCGACAGAGCTCCCATTTGCTTAAAAGCATTCAAATTCACATTTTATAAAAATTACTGTTCTGCAATCTGGCTCTTCCTCAAAATGTTAAACACAGAGTTACCATATGACCTAGCAATTCTACTCCTAGGTATATCCCCAAGAGAAATGAAGACATATGTCCACATAAAAGCTTGTAAACAAATGCTCACGGCAGCATTGTTTATAATAGCCAAAAGGGGGAAACAACCAAAATTCCATCAATTGATGAATGGGTAAATAAAATGTGGTACTTCTATACAATGGAATATTATTCAACTATGAAAAGAATGAAGTATTAATACACAAGGCAACATGGATGAATTTTGAAAACATTACGCAAAGTGAAAGAAACCAGTTACCAAAGGCCACATAGGGTTTGATTCCATTTATATGAAATGTCCAGAATAGGCAAATCCATAGAGAGAGAGGGTGGATTCTTGGTTGCCAGGTAATGGGGACAGGGGAGGATAAGGAGTGACTATTAATGGGTGTGGAGTTTCTTTTTGGGGAGACGAATATGTTCTAAAATTTAGTGTGGTGATGGTTGCACAACTCTGTGAATATTTACTAAAAAATCATTGACTTGTGTACTTTATATAGGTGGATTATATGGTAGATGAATTATATCTCAGTGAGATGTGAAAAAATTTATTGTTTTAGCCAAATAAAACTCTTCCACGGGCTCACCAGCCATGTACTATGGTATAATCACTGGATTAGAACGGTCTAGTGACCAGCTTAGTACATGAAAACTGTCCTCACTGCAGTACCAATCATGAGACTCACTCATCGTCCCCACCAAGCTTGAGATGCAATTGGGAAATTTGTGTTTTAGTTTAGGGAATAAGTGAGTGTGCAGTGGCTTTCTTCCTCTGCTTTTCGGCCATGTCCAGTCTGTCATTCCTGCCTCCTTGGGATTTTAAACTTCAGCAGTGATTTTTCTCATCTCTAAGAAATCTTTTCAGATTGCTGACTGCTGCCTGCATTTGTTTGATATGCCCCGTGTCCTCTTTAAGTGTACAAAGAACACATCTCAAAGTATACTTCTGCTCCTTGCGGTATCTTTGTCTCTAGTTCATAAGATGACACGTGTTCTGATTTCTTGACTTTATCTCCCTTTTTTGAGCTGTCAAGTCTGGGAGTTTACCCGTCCTTCATTGGGCCAGAGGTTGCTACAGTTATCCAGTGCAGAGAACTGAGGTGTGTCCCGGCTAAGATATTATAGAAATCTTTGAGATTTTTAAAGGAAAAGGGGAAGGCAGACCTGGCACATTTGCTGTAGTTTTAACTTGCTTACCTGGAAGTCTCCGCAGCTCTGGGGTGAGGGAGGGAGCTGGGGCCTGAGGCAGTGCCATGGGGAGGACTGGAGGATCTCTCTGTGTGTTATGGTAGCTTGAGGTTAGCTGAGACAGTGCCCTGGGCTCTACCTTGTGAGGAGCCAAGCTCAGCTGTCTCCTCCTTTTACTCAGTTTTTCTCTGGGTAGCGTGTAAGCTGTTAGCACTGCACGGGATTCACCATTGATATGGGCCCACAATCCGTTGTTCCCCTTGGAGGCTTTAGTGGGACTGGGGTTTCAGCCCCACTGAGTGCTTGCTGCCCTGGCCTCCAGACCCAGTCCTCACAGCCACAGTGGAACTTCATAGTCCCTTGCAGAAACTCCTTGAAGTATCTAGAATGTGGATAGCACTTTTTCCTGGTTTCCAGCACTGGTAAAAATTTTCTCCCTTTTAATAATAATAAATAATACTTTTAGTCATCAGTGGAATTTCGAAGAGGAATGAGGTTAATACATGCTCTCATCTTGCCATATTGAAACTGAAGACAGACTAATAATTTTTTTTTTTTTTTTGTGACAGAGTCTCGCTTTGTTGCCTAGGCTAGAGTAAGTGCCATGGCGTCAGCCTAGCTCACAGCAACCTCAATCTCCTGGCTCAAGCAATCCTTCTGCCTCAGCCTCCCAAGTCGCTGGGACTACAGGCATGCGCCACCATGCCTGGCTAATTTTATATATATATATATATATATATATATATTAGTTGGCCAATTAATTGCTTTCTATTTATAGTAGAGACGGGGTCTTGCTCTTGCTCAGGCTGGTTTCGAACTCCTGATCTCGAGCAATCCACCCGCCTCAGCCTCCCAGAGAGCTAGGATTACAGGCGTGAGCCACCACGCCCGGCCAGACTAATAATTTTTATCTCTCTGCCTATACTAGGATGGATTTGACTTGGCTACATGTATTGAAGAAAAGCAAAATAATGGTGTCTTAAATAAAATATAAGGTTATTTCTCCTTTAGAAAGATTGGAGGCTTTTCCAGCTCTCTGCTTCACCAATACTAGGGTGTGTGGCTCACATCCTCAGAGTTCAGTATGGCTACTAGAGCACCAACCATTACATCCACATTCCAGGCAGCAGGATAAGAGGAGATTGCAAAAGGATACATTTACTCCTTTTTAAGGAGACTTCCCAAAAGTGCCACACAGCTTAATTATTATATATCTCATTGGCCAGAAGTTTGTCACCTGACATGTACTTGTGTGCAAGGGAAACTTAGAAATATAATGTTTTAGCTGTGTGTAAATGTAACCAGCTGAAAATTGAGATTCTATTACTTAAAAAAAAAAAAAAGAGGTATCAATATTGAAAGGACACTGGGATGTTTTTACCCTGTCCCTGCTAACTCTTCACAAGTACTCACTGGAGGGGAATTTAGTCTCTGGTACCCAACTCCACCTAAAATGAGCCATGAGGGTTTGGCATTTCCCAGAGTTGATGGATGTCAGAGATTGAGAGGGTCAATGCAGATGAAGAGTCATGAGAAGACTGATTGATTGATGTGGTCATTCAGTCAGTCAGCAAACGCTTACTACTTGAGTCATTGCCCCCTACCTAGCCCTCTGCCACATCCTGGTATTGGGAAATGCAGAAGTGCCCAGAACACTCTGGGAGCCCACGGAAGGGGTCTACAAAGTGAAGAACCGAGGAGACCTGAGCTGAGAGTTAAGCTGAGCTTTGGCAAAAGGAGAACATGACTGGAAGGACATCTGAGAAGAAGGCGTAGGACTCATTCAGAGAGCCATCAGCACTTTGTCTCGTTTGGGGCTGGGCCAGGGCCAACACATCTGGAGGAGAGAGTGGCAGCTGGATGTGTGGACTTGCCTCCTGGCCACGGGCTTGAGGCAGATGCGGCTGGAAAGATCTGTGGCCTCTGGTGGAGAGGCAAACAGGTTGGAGGAGCCCGTGAGGCAGCACCAGTGGGAGAGAGAAGCCAGTTAGGAGGTAGGAGCAGGTGTGGGGAGCTTCAGAAGTGCTCAGATTTGGCTGTGGTGACAGGCTGGGTGTGGGGTCCCTGCTCCAGGCCTGGGGTAATGGGGAGAGACTAGTGTCCAGCTGGGCGGGGGCAGGAGGCTTCCATCAAAACTGCGTCACCTGGGCATTCAGCCCTTAGCACGTTGTGGGCTGTGCAGTCCCAGAGAGATGTCAGGAGCGTGTCATCACCAGAGAGGTGGCAAATGCCTGTGCCCCAAACACACTGAGGACTGGCTGCGGGCACAGACTGCCCCACCGACTCAAACCTGGTTCATGGTTGGTTGGTTGGTTGGTTGGTTTTAATCCAGAAAAGCAAAGTGACTGTTAAAAGATCAAAGGAAGGATGGGGGAGGGGTATCAAGATTTCAGAAAACAATCTCTCGCTACATAAATGAAATGTTTTGAAGAAAGTTTTTAAACATCTGGTTCAGTGAGAGGGAATATAAAATAAAAGCCTACTTATAAAGTGAAAAACTAAGGATTTCCAATAAGTTATGAAAGTTTTATTTTAAATGACACCAGTATCATATAAAATACAGTAGTCTCTTTTATAGTTTATAAATACAATTTCTAAAGGTTTTTATAAATCCTCTTTGTAGGGCCTGCAACCACCCTGTAATTTATGTGGTGGGGAACTGAGGAGAGACACCTGCCCAGGTCCACGGCAGAGTGGGAATTGACACCCCGTCTGTCTGTCTGTCTGCCTGTCTTGAGGGCCATGCTGCCTCTGCCTCCTGAGAGCTGGCTAACAACGGAGCTGTGGGCAGCCAGCTCTTTGTCCCATCTCTTAGATGAGCACTGTTGTTGGAATCTGATTTGTGAGGCTGTGGCATTGTCTGTAAAGGTGATGCCCCAGGGGGAAGGGCCCAGACAGGTGACAGAATCCCTTAATTCTTAGGGAAAGCCATATTAACAAGGAGGCTGCTGCCATCAGAGAAACTCCGTGGGGAAAATCGGTGAATGTGCAGCCGCAGCATCAGAAGGTCACATGGCACTGGGGAGCAGAGCCAGGATGCTGGGGTCCATACCTGGGTTCTGGCTCTGGATGCTAAAGCTGTCCATGCCTCAGTTTCCCTTTCTCCAAAATGGGGATGATGACATACCCTCCTCATGTTGTGAGAGTTAAGTGACTCAGTCTATGTAAAATGCTTAGAAAGTGCTTTGCACGACATGGTCTTAACTGCTGTCACCCTCCTCACACTCTGACAGTGAGACTGGCCTCCGAGATTGGGTTCTGGCCCATATGGAAGCTTGTTCTCTGTCCCCCACTGTCTGGGGCTGTTGTCATCCAGCATGCAGGGGAGTGGGTGTGCTTGCTTCATTGGAACCCCTTTTGACCATCCCTTCATCCTGCCTTAGAGGAACAGAGACCCTGAGTTCATATCCAGGCCCCAGCACTGCTGGCAGAGCTTTTAGGATCTCACCCGTAGAAACCCAGGGTTGCACGGTTTTGAGATGCCCTTATTCTCAGCCCTTCTCTGCCTCCTGTGGCCCTTCTCTGCTTTGTTGCTTCTGCTTATTTCCTCCCTCTGTCTTTCCACAGTCTGCTCCTCTCCTGTTCTCTGAGGGGGAGATGAGGTGAGTACATATCTGTGCAGTATCCAGTATTGTTAGAAGTGCAGCAACATGGGCACACCTTTCTGCTAGCAGGGCTTGGGTTTCTACTGTTCTAGCCACCAAGACTACTCTCTTGAAGATTTTCCTTACTTGTTTTATTTACGGGTCTTTCCAAAATCCATCTTTTCAGAAAATCCAAGGTCTAGAGCTGAGGAGAGTTGGTGCTAAATGATATTTTCAACTACATTTTAAGCATAAAGTCAGGAATTGGAAGTAGTGAATCATAATCAGTTCACTCCTAATGAGCACTCATTGCTCATAATCATGGTATTTCTGTTGCGGTTGGGATGAAAGAGCGTGGCATCGGGCAGATGGTAGCGAGCCCCCCTCTATTCCCAGGTGGATATGGAAGCCTTCCTCACGCTGACTGACGGTGACTTGAAGGAGCTGGGCATCAAGACAGATGGGTCCAGGCAGCAGATTCTGGCAGCCATTTCCGAACTGAACGCAGGCAAGGTATTGTCTCAGCCTTTTTTCTTTCCTTGTTTCAAGCAACTGAGAACCTTGAGGGGGTCCTAGGGTCTAGGGGAGTCTAACTTCATCTCCTCTGGCATATCCGACAGAGCCAGCCCCACTTGCACACTGCTAGTGACCCAGCACTTACTACCTCACAGCCTTGCCTGTTCCCTTTCGTACCTCTGTCCCCATAAGGTTGTTTCTCCCCAGACTCAGCCAAAATATTCTCTTGGGTAATTTCAACCCACAGAGCCAGGTATTTCCCACAGGAGCACCATGGACACACAGCCCTTGGTTCAGAGAGGGCCTGGAGTTAGGCTGACCCGGCTTTGCATCCTGGCTCCTCCTCTTACTTGCCGTGTTTCCTGGGGTAAGACATAGACCTCTCTGAGCCTCCCCGCAAGGTAAGGGTGATGAAGTGGTTGCAAGAACTAAAGTGCTTAGCAGAGCACCTGGCACACACAGACCCATCAATCACTGCTGTTATTGTTGGCATCCCAAGTTTTTGTCTGATGTTAAATTTGTTTCATCAGCTTTAAAGCTAAAGATTAGCAGTGCCCCTCCTCCATCCAAAGGTGCACACACACCCAAAAATCATCACTCACATTGCAAACGTTAATTATAGTTGCTATTGGGCTATTCATTTTGCCTTCTGCTTTTTTTCCAAGTATAAGATGGATTTTTCTGTTTCTCATTTCAGCAACAATGTATAATACCTGCTTACCTGTTGCTTTTTCACACTTTGCTTAACAGCTTTCCACTTGTTGGACAATAGTGTCATGTCGGCGATTTTATAGTTATAAATGTTACCATAATGGAATCTCTGCCTTTTGCCTTTTTCTTTGTTCTTCTTCTTCTTCTTCTTCTTTTTGTTTGTTGTTATTCCTTGGGCTATGTTCCACGATATGAGATTATGTCAGAGAGCATGGCCATCTTTATGGTTCTTTCTGTATGTTGCTGGATTATGCACAGAAATGTTGAGCAGATGTATAGCGCCAGCAGCTAATAAATATTTATGTAGCACTTTATCATTTACAAATCACCTGGTATACATTTCCACGTCAGTCCTCAAGACAGCCCAGGGAGGCTGGTGCAAGTGAGCAGAGTCTGGGGAGGGGAGGTCCGTGCCCAGGTCACAGGGTGGTGGGCAGAGGAGGCAGAATCTACACCCAGGTCTTCTGGCCTCTTCATCTTAACCTTTCTGCTGCCCCACAGTGTATGGAGCGCTGCCAGAATTGGAGGTGGTTGTTTTTACTGTTATGTCATTATTATTATTATTATTATTTGAGACTGGGTCCTGCTCTGTCACCCAGGCTAGAGTGCAGTGGTGTAATCATAGCTCACTGTAACCTCAAACTTTTGGGCTCAAGTGTTTCTCCTACCTCAGCTTCTGAGTTACTGGGACTATAGGTACACACAACCACACCCAGCTAAATTTTTAATTGTTATCTCTTTGTAGAGACAATATCTTGCTTCATTGCCTAGGCTGGTCTTGAACTCCTGGCCTCAAGCAATCCTCCTGCTTTGGCCTCCCAAAGTGCTGGGATTACAGGCATGAGCCACCATTCTTGGCTCATTCATTATTATTACCTATCTGTAGGCTATGAGTTGATCCTTCAAAGCGATTTAGTTAGGGCAGCTGCAGGCATTTGCAAGGTTTAGTGTTTTTCCTCATGACTTTACTATTTGTTCTTTTTCTTCTGTAAATGGCCTATTTATATGCATTTCTCGCCTGTTCCCTGGGCCTGGACTGCCTCACTTTACAGATAGGGAAGCCCAGGCTCAGAGACAAATCATGACCCCTGACTTCCAGACCAGCACTGCTTCTGCTCTGCTGTTAGATGTTCAGGGGGAAGGGAGGTAGGTGAGCCAGGCATGGAGGTTGCCGAGGTGGGCAGGTCTCAGCTGTTAGAAGAGCATCATCCAGGAAATGGAAACCCCAGGGTGACTCACAGAGGGTAGATTAACCAAATCAATCACTAATGTCTTTGGGACATTGATTTATTCTTGCAAAAGGGCCCTTTGCGAATCTGCTGTGTCCCAGGCAATGTGTGGGTGCTGAGCATTCAGAACCACTCTGTACCCAGCACTATGTCTGAGCATGTCACATATTGTAGTCATTCATTTAATCTGTGTAAAAGCCGCCAAGGTCAGTTCCAGTTTATAGATGAGGAAACCAAGGCACAGAGAGGTTAAAGAGTTTGCCCAAGATCACACAGCCAGTACATGACAGAGCCAGGGTTTGTGTCCTGGCCACATGCTGTACCGCCTCAGTGTAACTCACCCACAGCCCAGGTAAAAGAGAGGCAGGTGGTGCCATGAAAGCTCCTGGCTTAGAGTGGAACCAGAAGGGAAGGGATCAGAAGACATTCTCGGGCAAGTGGAAGGGTGCTGAGATCTAAAGGCAGAGTGGGAACCACTGCATAAAGGGGTAGAAGAAAAGTGCAGATCAGGCAGAGGGAAGTTCATGTGCAAAAGCCCTGTGGTGAGAAGATGTGTCACACATTTAAAGAACTACAGGTTCTTTTGCTCTGTGGCTGGAGCACAGAGCAAAGAGCCACAGCATGCAGGAGGTCCCAAGGGACAGATGAAGGTCCCCAAGGTGGTCAAGGGTGACCCAGTCAAATAAAGGCAAGGGCTTTGGGGGCAGTGGTAAGTGACAGTGGGGGCTGTTTGAGCACTCTTCCTTCTCCTGGCTTCCAGAGGGCAGGTGTGTGAGCCCTGAGAGGATGGAGGTGGGGGATGCCATGTGTCAGCCAGGTAAGGAAGGATGGAAAAAGTTCTGGATGTAGGGACAGTGAGAGGACAGGCCAGATGGCAATTGCTAATCCAGAACCTCCCTTTGCCCTCTGTGGCCATGACCTCCTTGGCCCAGGATCACAAAAAGAAGACAGACTTAGCTGGTTTGCAAACCTTCAGAAACTTAACTGGCATCACCAGAATGGATGATGTGACATTTTGAGCCCACCCTAAATGTCCAAAGGAGGACGTTTTTCTTAAAGTTGATACAGACTAGCCTTTTTCTGGTTGTCTCTCAAATTCATTGCCCCCATTCCCTGTTCTCTAACAGTCTGGTCCTGTACTGAGCAGGTCCTCATCAGGAGAAGCAGAGGAATGGCTGTTGGCGTCCCCCTTGGGGACCCAGTTCACTGGCCCCCAACCCAGAGACCCAGGTGACCCTGACGTGCCAGGCCCAGGGCACCACTTAGCCCACCCTTGTCCTTCCCAAAGGCAGCATCCACCCTGCAGTCAGGCAACTCCACACAGCAGCGGGCATGAGAGGAAGGAGCCAATCTGAGAGGAAGGAGCCAATCTGAACTAGCTCCCTGGAGAAAGACCCTGACATCCAAGGCAGGTAGTACCAGGTAAAGTCCTCTGGAAGTGAGGACCATGTATCCTAGTGTGTCATAGAGAAGAGGCAAGATTAGGACAAAGTTTAATATTACAAAAACAAATTTTAACTTCTGCACTATTCCAAGTTACCATTGTAATTCTATGCTGGTTCTTAAAATGAGCAAAGAGCTCCTCAGGCCAAAGGTGGCTTCCAGGAACGCTTCTGATGCCCGTGAGATGCCCTGGGCCTTGGCTGTTCTGGACCAGACTTACCTGGCCCCGGCTGCAGAGGTTCCTACCTCTGCAATTGCTGCAGCACATGAGCTTCGCCTTCTGACCTTCATACTTTTTCTTTTGCAATGCAAGCTGGGCCGAGAGAGTACCCACTGTGGCTTGAATGCTCGGTACACACTGAGGAGCCCAGCCAGGGACACGTGCAAGAGGGAGGCCCAGCTTTCCTTGCCCCCATGTCTGTCATGCTGTGGTCCACAGCATGCTGATGGGTTGTGGGATCCATGTAATGGTTCATAAGCAGCATTTAAAAAAACAAGAGAATAGAAAATAGCTTTGCAGGTAGGAAGGACAGAACTTGCTTCAGTTATATATGAGTACATGAAATAGGGTTGTGATATAAAATGCATTTCTCACACAGTCAAAAAAAGTTTGAGCATTTTAGCCTAAAATGTTTTTAAGTGAGTATTAACCAAAACCCTGACTCATAATAACACAATAGTGTCAGCAAATATTATCAGGCATAGCATCAGCAAAGCATTGTGGACCCTCAGCTTGTGAGCCAGATAAGTTCCAGATGAACCTGTCTCGGTATTTCAGTTGAGAGTCAGCTTATTAGTGTGTTAATTTCACATGAGTTATGTATTGGAGAAGGTTCACTAGAAATGTGTTAGTTGGTCCTAAGCCACTGTTTCTTTCTGGTACCCTTTTTGTCCTTATCAAAGCAGTGTATATTCATTTTGCTAAATTTGCATATTACCAAAATTGTGAAAAGAATTTTTTTTAAGAAGTCACGAATCATGATCCAATCGCCCAGAGGCCAATGCCATTCACTTTTGGGCAGATAATTCTGCAGTGTTTTGTGTCCAATTTTTTTTTTTTATACATGGCTAAGATAAATTTGGATGTATATGCTGCTTTCTTTAACATGAAATATATGCAGCTACCCATGTTACTAAGAACTGTCTTTTCATATAATAAATTTGTATAGATGTGCTAAAATTAATTTTTTTAAAATCCCTACTTGTTGAATATGTAGATATCCAAACTTTCTATAAATAGTGCTACAGTGGAGAACTTTGTGTATAAGGCTTTCTAATTATTCTCTCAGAATAGATGTCTAAAAGTGGAATTACTGAGTCGAAGAGTCAGAATCAAGGTGTATGTACACCTGAATTACTTTCCACTGAGAGCCAATAATCACCCCCACCAGCTAGGGGTGTATGAGTTCTAGCTTCACTGCAGCCTTGCTAGCACTGTGTACTACAAGTTTGTTTTTTAATCTTTAGTAATTTGATAGGCCAAAAAATGTGCCTTGTTGTAATGTGCATTTTTTAAAATATTAGGTAAGTTAAACCTTTATTCCTACATTTAATGGCCATTTGTTTTTTTGTTTTTGTTTTTGTTTTTTTTTTTCCTTTTGAGAATTATCAAGCAGGTCCTTTGAAGCTCAGGGGTTTTTAAAGGGCAATTATTATTATCTTCAATCTGCTGTGGATGCAGGAAACGATTACAGTTTTAATCATCTATAGCTCCCTTCTAAGGTTAGGAGGCAGCGAGTGCTGGGACCTTGTCTCACCCTGACCTTGTTCCTCAGGCAGTTAAGGCCAAGGTGGTGTTCAGTAATGAAACCGCTTGTCACCCCTTCTGTTACTTCTTAGCCCTCTGCAGTGTGCATAGTGCCGCCCCATTCGTATCTCAGGGTGAGCTTGATGGCAGCCCTGGTGGGTGACATTCCCATTTTACAGATATGGAATGGGGACGTGCCTGGGAGGCCACCACTAATCAGTGCTGGAAGAGAGACTCCAAGTCCTCTGACTCCACATCCCATGCTCTGTCCCTCTACCCTGCAGCCCCGAGATCTGTGTTGATGGAATGCTAAGGACATTCTTCTGCCTTGTTTGCCTGGAAGGACTGACATGAAGGGAGAATGTTACTGTCCTCTCGGGGGTCTGGGAGGCCTTGTCAGCACAGATGTCTGCTTGGGGGTCTGGAGAAGAACCCACCACCACCACCCAGAGTGAAATGACAGGAAAGAAAGTTTGAAGTCTGGTCTTATTCAGGCGACTTTTTTCCCGCTTTTTATTCTTAGCAAAGAGCAATCTGCCAGACATTGTACATTTTTAATTTACTTTACATTTTGACCACATTTATTTGTTACTTTTAAAAATATATGTTTAATCCACACTGCTGCCCTCTGAGGGCAGGACCTGGCTGCCTCTTACACAGGGTCTGTTGTTAGCAGCAAGCGTGTGAGGTGCCATTATTATCCCCATTTTTTTTTTCCTTTTTGAGACAGGGTCTTGCTTTGTTGCCCAGGCTAGAGTGAGTGCCGTGGCGTCAGCCTAGCTCATAGCAACCTCAAACTCCTGGGCTCAAGCAATCCTGCTGCCTCAGCCTTCTGAGTAGCTGGGACTACAGACATGTGCCACCATGCCTGGCTAATTTTTTCTACATATATATATATATAGATATATATATATATGTTGGCCAATTAATTTCTTTCTATTTATAGTAGAGACAGGTTCTCGCTCTTGCTCAGGCTGGTTGCGAACTCCTGACCTGGAGCAATCCACCCGCCTTGGCCTCCCAGAGTATCCCCATTTTATAGATGAGGAAAACAAGGCCCAGAGAGGTTGTGTTTCTTGCTCAGGGTGATATAACCACTAAATGGGAGAGATGGTCTTTGAACCCAGGCTGTTTGGTTCCAGTCTCTGTTCTTTTTATGTTTTTTAAAAAAAACAACAGAGTTTCACCAGGCTCAAAAATAAGAGTTTCACCAGGCCTCAAACTTCTGGGCTCAAATAGTCCTCCCACCGCAGCCTCCCTTCCGAGTAGCTGGGATGACAGGTGCCACCTCACCCTGCCCAGCCTCTGTTCTTAGCCTCTGTGTGTTGCAGCCTCTCAGCCATGTCCCCAGTGAAGATGTTTTCTGGGCTTAGAGAAACATCCACATCCACTCTTTACCCATATCAGAATGTGCATATGGGGGCTGGGTGTGTCTGGTAGGGATGGGGTGAGAAGGGAATCTCTGTGAAGAGGAATCTGACACCTGAGGGCAGTTCAGCCTCTCCCTGCGTAGCAGGAGGATATGTGCCTCCCATTGAATTCTCCGGAGATCTAAAGGCTGGAAAGATACCCAGAGCGGGGCAGGGGAGGAGACCTTCCTTCCAGGCCACGTGTGTGGGACAAAGCCCGTCTTGCCCTCTGGGCTCTGCCTCCTGTCCTGGTCCAGGGGATTGGACTCCTGTGTCCTGGCACCTTCTCCAGGGCTGGCGGTGCTGGGGAGAGCCTGACTCAGTGTGTTTTTATTAAGCTTGGTGCTCTTTCAATTAGGTAATTTATTTTCCCCAAGATGCCCATGGGTTTTTCGAGTATGAGTTGAGCATTAACAACACTGTGTCAATTGAATTAATGGTTAAAAGATTTAACAAGACTTTCTGTGTCTGTTTTCAATTTCCTCCACAGGGACGCGAGAGACAAATTTTACAGGAAACCATTCACAACTTCCACTCTTCCTTTGAGAGCAGTGCCAGCAACACCAGGGCTCCCGGCAGCAGCCCCTGTATGTGCCCTCCTTCCTGTGGCCGCCAGTGTGAGCTCTCTGAACCCCACCTCCACCTTCACATAGCCAGGGCCCAGCCCCTGCTCCCAGACACATACCCCGCTCTGTCACAGCTCTGTGCCTCAGTTGCGTTGCTCCCTCTGCCTGGAATACCCCTTGTCCCTCTGCTGCATTAGTCCGTGGTGCTTGTTGCTAGAACAAGCTACAACACACACAGATTGAGTCTCACATCACAGTTCAGTAGGACTGCTTCTGGTTGTAGGTGGTTTCACATCGTGATTTGGGGACCCAGATCCTTTCATCTTGTGCTCCAGGAGCCCCAGAGTCTTTGCTTTTGGGTGACAGCAAGGGTAGTGGATGGTGGAGAATGCCTAGTCACTTCTTAACTGCCTCGTCCTTAACTGACAGACACTGGCTCACGCTCCCTTGGCCACCAGTAGTCATGTGGCCCCACCTGGATGCAAAGGAGGCTGGGAAGTGTAGTCTCTATTCAGCTAGCAGCTTCCCAGCAACACTTTAAACTTAGCTGGGGAGCACATATTTTGGTGGAGATAAGTCCGCCTTGCCACAATTTCCCTTAAAACCTCCAGCCTGTTCTTCTGATCCAAGTCACCTATCAGGTGAAGCCTTTCTTGACTCCCTTCTAGCCACTGGGGTCCCTTAGTGCTTTGTATGTGACTCTGCTCTAGTACTTTACGGCACCTGCTGCATACAGCATACAGCAGGCATGGGGGATGTGTATGTTGAGTGCATTTTTCTTTATTGTAAAACAGCCTTTTACATAGGAGAAATAGAGAAGGCCTGCTATGTGGACCGTTCTTTCTGGCTTTCAGTTTTCTCATCTGTAAGACAGATGTGGGGGGAGACAGTGCTCTGATATTCCATCCATGCTGCTCACCCCGTATCACTGTGGGCTTTCTCCACTGCGAGGGGATCTGAAGACCAATGTGTCACACTGAAAAAGGACTGTGGTGCTCGAGTTTTCTAGGCAAAGAAGTGTAGAATTTGGAATTTTTATACTAGATCCTATTAATGCTACATTCCTCAAAAGTGAATTGGCCTGTGTAGTTTCTGACCATATCATGTTGTATTAGAGGGGCTCTGACTTTTAAAAGACAGTTGCTTTCTGAAATGTTTTCCAGTGAGTAATTCTTGCGGTCAGTGCTTGCTGCATTTCTGTTACATGCTGGGTGCTGAGTATATAGGGATAAGCCAGAGCTGGTCTCCATCCTTGAGCATCTGGATGGGCCAGGGACCAGACATGGAGAGGCAGCACAGTAAAATGGAAAGAGCTTGCGCTCTGGACTCAGGTTCAAAGTTCAGATCTGGCTTTCAGTATCTTAATTGGATCTTGGAGCCAGTGTGCATAAGGTGCTTGATGTGCAAGAAGTACCCAATAGATGGTGGCCTTCACAGAATTCCAGTCTTTACCATGAGGTATGCTGGGCCACGTGTCGGTCTCCTTGGGAGGTACCATCTCTCATCTGTCCCTCTCCTAGCCATGAAAGCCCATCTTTTTATGCCAGCTTTCAGAGGCGATTATTACTCTACCACCCAGAACTTAGTGGTTCCCTCCTTCTGCCTGAGGCCCAGTGGGTGGTGGTCCTTCTTCATCCTTTCATCCTTCCACCCACAGAAGTCAGCTTTCCACATGACTGAAGATAAAGCATTTCAGTTGTGCTATTACTGACACTCATCTTTATAAAGCTTCCTTGGGTCCCATCCTCCTTTAAGGAGACACATTTCTTGATCGCCTACTATGTGCTGGCAGCTTTACCACATTGTCATTTCACCCTCCTTGCCCCCCTGGAGGTGGCCCTGTTTAGCTGCCTCCTGCACATCAAGGAAATAGCTGCTTTGGGAGAGGAAGCTGCTTGCCAATTAAACCATTCATAAGGAGCATATCTGGGGTTAACGAGGCTTGCTGGCCTCCAAGCCTGTGCCTTTTCCACCAATTCCTGGAGATTCTCAAGCTAGAAGCACTAGGGATTCCCACTGTTTTAATGTACTAATATTTTCAGGCGCTATCAATAGGCCTAAAATTGTCTGTCCCTGAAATACATGGCCCTAGGTGTTACATGCTTTGCAGTTTTGTGCCTGCTTTTCACTGAGCTCCTATGTTTTGGTAACCTGTGTGTTGATGTAGCTTCCACTTAGGTAAGTTTGATTGAGCACCTGCAATACACAGGTGCTGTGCTGGGGGTCACTTTTCACAAATGCAAACCTCCATGATCTTGTTGGATGACAGAACAGGGCTTATTATCCTCATTTTACGAACAGGAAGACTGAGACTCCAGATGATGGCTTTTCGTGGCTTTTTTACTGGACTCAAATGTCCGAGGTTTTTTCTCCAGACAGTTGTGTGCTGGTTGGTGAGAGGTTCCTGGCACCCTTTCTGGGCCTTGCTCACTCTTTCCTGGGGACACTTCTCACCCTACATGTGTCCCCAGGCGTCTCCAAGAGGCTGTCCCTCCATAAGAAGTACCTCTCTTGCTCGATGAGTCTCACCAGCATTTCCCAAAGTGTGCTCCTTGGAACACTAGTTCCATAGGATATTAATAGGTTTTTCATAAAGAAAATTAAGGGGGTATGTATGTGAAGTGGGGCAAGGTTCCACGATCAAGTGGGTTTGGCAGACATTGGGTTAAAGCTGAGCTGTATGGTCATCTCTGCTGCAGGTGTCTCATGACCTTCAGCATGCAGGTGGGGTCAGGCCTCTTCATGGGGCCATGGAGCTTGTAGCATTTCGCACACTCATCTGATCATGGAACCCTTCCCCAGGGTGCTCTTGCAAGACACCATTGGGGAAGCCCCGCTTGACTGGGACAGTAGCAGCCATGAGCCATCCCAGCCTTGGGGGCGGGGCATGGGGTGCCAGAGCACCTCAGCTGGGTCAGGGTCCTTGGTAGCACCCACCCCTGCAGAGGTGGCCTGCGTGGCTGTGAGACATCTGGGTGGGGGTCCCCTGACTTTGAGATGGCAGGGACCCTGCTCATGAGGCTCTCCGTCCTGGGGGACTCCTGCTGGGTGGAGGGCATGGTTTCCCAGCATCCCTCCAGAGTCCCGCTGGTGTGTGCTGGGTGTCCAAGCCCCCACTGGCCAGGGCAGGGCTCCTACCTCCTTGCTGCAGTGCCAGACCATTACATGGAGGCCAGCTGGTTTTGCAAAGAGACCATTTACTTTTTCATTCTTTGGTCCACTGAACATTTACTGAGCATCTACCCTGCACCAGCCCCATGCTTGTGGTCTAAACCCATGACGGAAAAGATTCATCTCTGCCCTCACGGGACCCTTGGTACTGTAGAGGAGACAAGCACATAGAAAAATGGTGCAGTGGTAGAGGTGTGTGCTTGGTGCACAGCTTCAGCCCAGCCTGGGCAGGGTTTTGAGGAGAGAACCAAGCTAGGTCCTAGAGGGCAAGTCGGCATGGTTGGCAGGTGGGAAAGAGAAGGGGACCCCAGACTGGGAACAGCATGTGCAAAAGCAGTATGTAACATTTGTGGGTAATATATTGTCGGGTAAGTTAGATACATGTTTTTTTGATTTTTGGTCCTTTGGAATGTGTTGGAGCAATCTGTTATCCTGGAAAGAGCACTGGATCTAAAGTCAGACCTAGCACTGGGTTTTGACTCAGCCACTTCTCACTGGATAATGGTGGATATATTTCCTCATCTCTGTGAGCCTCAGTTTCCCTTTTGGTTACAAGGGGATAGTAATTCCCAAGGGGCTGAAGATCAGATGAAACTGAGAAAGCCCTTTTCACACTGTGGAGCAATGCAAATGTGAGAAATCTCAAAGATAGTTGCACATTTTTAAATCCTCTCTCTCTCTCTCTCTCTCTCTCTCTCTCTCTCTCTGTCTCTCTCTCTTCTCTTCCTCTCCCCCTCCCCCTCCTCTCCCTTCCTCCCCCTTCTTCTCTCCTCTCCCCTCTCCCCAACCCTAATGAAGCTATGGCAGGGTGGGTGAGGCCGGAAGAGGCCACCTCCAGCAAGAGGTAGCAGCAGCTGAGATGGCTCTGCTGGCATCAGAGCGAAAGCAGGACGGCAAGAGGGTCGACCTTCAGATCCCGCTCTCCATCAGTGCCTAACTCTGGGCTTCCCAGCAAGGTGGACAGAAAGAAAGGAAACAGTCTAGCCAAACTGTAGGAGCAGGTGCAGCAGGCAGAGAGGGGCAGGGAACTCTCTCATTTGCTTTTGCCATGGAGCTGTCTGAAGACATTGTTACGTCAGCCAGGCCTGAGGCTGGATGGCTGTGGACATCCACACTGTCCTGTGTTTCCAAGTAAGTGCCTCCCGAAGGGCTTGGGGCCCTTCCCAAGAAGATTCTGCAGCCCACAATGAAGGTGCCATCCCGTGTCTGTCCTTGTCCATTCCAAGCAAGTTAATCATGTCTTGTTAACCAGTAGGTCCTGTTCAACATGTAAAGAGACCCGATGTTTTCCCTAATAAAGTTTATACCAAATTCTGCAGGACTGGGCTACAAGAGAAAATCCCCCGGGTAAGGTGGGTGGTGAGTCGCCTCCCCTGGGGAGTTTCTCACTCACTAGTCAAACATTTCCTGAGGGCTTGCCAGGCTCCCCACAGGCCCCTCTTTAACATGCATCTTAAGTGTGGATTTAGACCCTGCCTTAATTTCAGCCACCTGGTGGAGGAGTCAGTCTCATATAGTCAGAGGTTTACCAAGGCTTGGGGATGACAGAAAGGAAGCAAACACGAAGGGTCACGGTAGTGCATAGAGCACAAAGCTAGCCCAGTTCACTTGTCTCAGCATCCCCTCCACCCCGGCTTCCTCCCCTGGCAGACAGTGTCTCCCAGCCCAGTGGAGTGGAGCATAGGGTCCCTCCCAGCTTCCTGGCCCCTGCTGGAACCTCCTCTCCAGAGCTGGTAGACACAGGCATGGCCATCCTTGTCAGGGAGACTTGTCCCTACCCTCCCTGTGGCTGTGTCAGGATTTGACTATACCCTAAGTTCTTACCAAGGCCACGATATCCATTGGTTAAGAGACCAGGACACCATTTCATTTCAGCTCTAGAGAGTGGGTTTCCATCCTTACTATCAAACACCATTTTATTGTTATTTTCAGGCAGGGACTCGATTCTTTGAAAGATTTTTGTCAAACTGCGCATACTAAGTAAGGGTGAATTTGTCTTCCATCTTTGTACTCATCAAAGGCATAAAATGCTCAGATTTCTTCCAGCAATAGCTGTTAAATAGCAAGCCCCTGAGGTGTGCCAGAAGCTTCTAGAAGTTGACTGCCTCATCTTCACAGTAACCCTTAGAAGCAGCCTGAGCATTCATTCCTTTTCTATCAGTTTGGTGATAGACTGTGGCACACAGATGTTAACCACCTTTACCAAGGTCACGTGGCCAACACAGGACGGTTGGCTTTGAGTGCAGGTCTCACCTCAGAGCGCAGGTCATGATGTCTTGCTGCCTGTCGGCACAGAGGTAACAGTGAATTGGCACAGCCCAGCCAACACCACCACAAATAAATGGAACATATTTAGTCTCTGCCGCTTGTTCACAATGGGGGAGGGGGCGCTTGTGAAATATTATAAATAGCATGGTGATTCTCTCTGCTTTTAAGGATTCTCTTAGGTTGGGGGAGTGCTTGGGGGCACCCCTAGTTTCAGTGCCCCACTCTGGCTGCTCAGACCTAGGGAGCCTTGGGGAAGCAGAAGGAGTGAAGCCCTGGGGCCCCAGAGGGCAGGAAAGGGAGCTGGGGAGGCGTGGGCATCGGCCCAGTGCTCCATGAGGAAGAAGAGGAACGTTGCAGGGATCAGAGCCCTGGCGGTGGGGGGGGGGGGCTGTGCCAGAGACTGGAGAGGGCACTGGACCCAGGAAGTGGTTCCCAGGCGCCAGTACCAGGTGGAGGTGATATGAGAGCAACAAGTGCAAGGCTATGAGTTTGTCTGACACCGAGTATGTTCATATTTTACAGGGCTTGTCTTGATTTTGACAAGTCCCTCCTACTTTGGGAGGTGGGTGTGGTGATGGTAGCTTTAGTTTTACTGTTGTGTGGAATCCAGACGTCTGAGCAGTACTGTTCTAGGTCACTTTTGAGCTCCCTTCCAACCCTGTGGTTCTATGAAAAGCTATAAAAAGAAGAGGGAATGTTTCCTCTGTAAGTTAAACATAGAGTGACCAGACAACCCAGCAGTTCCACTCCTAGGTACTGGAGTGGATAGGAACTGGAACTGGAAGTAGATATTCAGACAAAAACGTGTACACAGATATTCATAGCACTATGCACAATAGGCAAGAGGTAGAAACAGCCCAAATATCCATCAGCTGAAGAGTGGACACACAAAATGTGGTGTATCCACACCATGGAATATTATTCAGCCATAGAAAGGAAGTACTGATTCATGTTACAGCCTGGTGAACCTTGAAAATATGAGGCCAAGTGAAAGAAACCAGATGCAGAAAGCCACAGATTGTATAGTATGATTCCATTTATATACCATAAAAATGTAAGGGGCTAATGACCTGGCTGACCTGCACCTTCTCTACCTTGCCCTTCAGTGTGAGGGACACGTGGCCATTCTAGAGTCTTCCTCCCCCTCCCTCCCATACGCATGTCCCCCCTGGTCAAGGATGCAGATGCACCAAGGGTTTCATGCCAGCATTCCCAGGGCCCAGCACAGAAAATGCCTCACAGATGTACCCCAAATGGGGTAGGCCTGGTCTGGTCCTGGGGACGGTCTCTTGGCACCAAGTCACTGGCTGTGCTGAGGCGCTCTTGCCACTTCTCTAGTTCTCATTGCCTCTCTCAAGCTTCTCTCTCAAGCTTCCTTTGCTCACAGCTCTTTAGCAGAACAATTGTCTCCACTTTCAACACAATCAAAAACACTCCCTTTGAGCCAGTGGATGAGTGTTCTCAGAAGCATTGAGGCATTGGCTTGGATGCCCACTCCAAGGGACCTGTTCAAGTGTCAATGCCCTCAAGGGCCCCAGCCTGTGGCCTCCCACCGCCCCTCCACCTGCTCCCTGGCCTCAGCCACAGCTCACAGCCCCTCCTCCCGCCCAGTCCTGCTCCTCACCCCCTTCCACAGGTGCCCATCCAGAGACCATTGCCTAAGCAACAGCTGGGGCTGATCTCAGAGTGTGCGTCCCAGGGAACCTACCTGTGATGGGGGCTTCCTAAGAGGTCAGGCTGTGTACACACGGAGGGGAGCCTCAGCCATGAAGAAGGCGCCAGAACTTCCACTGTCCATTGAAGTCATGGTGGCTTCTATAGAATGAGGTGGCCACAGGGAAAGGTGTCTGGCCACATCCTCACAAGGGGCCACAGTCAAGAGCCTGCGTCAGACCGGATCTTCCAGGGGAACTTCCATTGGCCACCTGGAGCCTTGGGCATGCCGGGGGCAGTGTGGGGGGCCCACAGCTCTTCCCAGGCAGCGGGCACTGGTGGCACACCATCGTGGGCACTGGGGAAGTGCCAGGGAGTATGCCTTCACGGAGCTTGTGACCCACTGGAGCAATAACAGTCCTGGCTCCGAGGGCTGGTGTGAGGATGGACAGTCCGAGTGCCCAGCATGGTGCCTGGCACAAGGCAAGTGTACTCAGCATCTGAAGCTTTTAACGATTCATTTCTTCTCACCTCTTAGGTAGATGCCCCAAAGGAGGTCAGGACGTGTGACCTCCTTAGCAGCCACAGACCTAGGTTATGGACCTATGACAAGGGCCAGGTAGGCACTGGCCAGATTTATGGTGAGAATGAATGGAAACTATTTGTTAATTGGGTAGCAATACACACAATTCAGTTTATAAACCCCAATTGTGTAAGGAAGAAGATAGAGCAAAGAAAATTAGGGGGAAGAAAGCACAAGGTGCAGGCTGTGTTAGAGCTATGCATTAGGTCTGCATCTGTCCCCTTTCTTTCATGCACTAAAACATAGGTCACTTAGTATTCCTGGGTCACCTCGACTTTTTTAATTTTAAGAAGTTCATTTTTATTTTTAAAGAATTGCACAAGTTATTATCTATTCTGTTGTGCAAGATACAACACATTGTGTTTTTATGTCCTCTGTTGAGAGCCCCAAAATCGGGTGTAGCTGTCATCAGAAGCCCATGGGATTCCAAGATGTGCAGAGCCCGGGGCTAGGGGCCTAAGGAGCCCTCTGTCAGGGTTTCACACCTGGGGAAAACTCCAAATGGGCTCCTGCTCACACTTCCAGTGCTCTCTCCCAGCTTCTTGAACTTCCTGCTAATGTGGGCATAGCTCTCTGCATGATTAATCATTCATGACTCCTAAGTAGTGCTTTTCTTGCTAGAGCCTTGCCTCTCAAAGTGTGGTCTGTGGCTGGGCACAGTGGTTCACACCTATAATCCCAGCACTTTGGGAAGCTGAGACGGGAGAATCGCTGAGCCCAGGAGTTCACAACCAGCCTGGGCAACACAGTAAGACCTGCCATCCCCTACCCTATCACCTTCTCTCTGCATCTCTACAAAACAAATTAGTCAGGTGTGGTGGCACACACCTGTAGTCCAAGCTACCGGGGAGACTGAGGCAGGAGGATCACTTGAGCCCAGGAGTCAAAGGCTGTAGTGAGCTATGAGGGCACCTCTGCACTCCAGCCTCGGTAAGAGAGCTGAGACCCTGTCTCTCAACGAAAACAAAGTGTGGTCCATAGACCAATAACTTTGGTGTTCCCTGGATGTTTATAAGAAATGCAGGCCCTGCACAGTTCCTAGGGGATGCATATACACACTGTAGCGTGCAAAGCAGTGATACATTAATCTTATGCACAATGTCATGTGAGCACTCAGATGCTGTTACCTATTACACAGAAGGGGAAACGGGAAACAGGTTCTGCAAGCAGTGTCACATGGATAGTTAGGGTAGAACCAACACTCACTCAGGCTTTTCCTTCAA